CCGCCAGGGTTGCTCCAGGCTAAAATCAAGATCCAATCGGTCCCCTTCAGGGACCAACTTTCCACTTGTAGCGCCAGAGTCTTAGCGAAATTTCTGCAGGCCGCCCAAGGACGTCAACTACTCGGCCTTTCCTTGCCTGCCGTGGGCCAGCATTGGCTCGGAGGATTACTGCCGGCCGAAGCCCGTTGGGCAGAAGCCGCCGCGGTCCAAAGTCTGGGTGACTGAGGGGCTGGTGGGCATGCCGCTTGGCACGACTGCGGGTTTGGGGTTTTCCTTTTGGTGTCCTTTTCAAACCAACCCCAAAATGGTATCCACAAAAAGACTCGAAACATGCGGTTCGTGTCAAACTAGGGGGACCCCCCAAATGGTGGGTTGTTTCCTTTTGGTGTCCTTTTCAATCCAACCCCTCACATGCACAAAAAGACGCGCAAAAATGCGAGTTGGATGGTTCTGGCTCAGGCTGGGCTATGGTCTTCCGGACCTGCCAGAAGAGACCAACTCTTCAAGGGACCAGATCTGCCGCCTGGGCCGAAACAACTTGGCCGCGCTGGCGAGGCTCTTCCACGGCCCTTTCCAGCGAAAGAGGCGCTGGCATTGGACGCTCCGGTCGGACCGAATCTGTGCGACTTAAAATAGAGAAATAGGTTCTTTGCGATTTGTTGGGTGCACTTGGCGAAAGACGGACAGTTGAATTGAGCCCTTGCGCCTGTCGAACTTTTGCATGTTTGTTTCGATATCCAGCACCCATTGCAGATTGCTTCACGCAGTCCACGAACTTCAGGGGTGAGTCATAGGGGTTTTGCTTCAGGATAGGCTGATGCCTTGGCTCGGGTCAGTTTCTCGCGAGGCATTTTTCCTCTTCTTTTTTCCCTTTTTCCGCGAGTCCTCACGTCCAAGCCCTGGTGGCGGCGGTGCAAGACCTGCACCGGGAGGATTGCCACGAGCTGTGCTCCGCCGTGATCATGGGCGCCGGCGCCTTGGCCTTCCGCGAGGCCCGAGGAGTCGCGTCGGATGCGATGCGATGCGAAAAGACGCGAGCCCGTGGCCTCCCAGTTAGTTCAGCTGGGAAGGTTTGTGACTCTGATCTTCTGGAGGCACCACCATGGGAGATGTACAAGCTCGGAATACAAAGCAAGTTGTGACTTGGTGCCGTGCTGCATGAAATGCTTTCGGTATCGTTTTGGTTTCCTGTTCATAGCCATCCAACTTAATGCCTTCTGTTGATTGACACGTCCCAAGACAACCCCAAATTCCAACAGTTGGCCTCGGGGCCTTGCCCAAGACCTTCCAACATCCCTGTTGGCTCCTACTCGAACCTTGCTCTTGTCAAAGCCTCTGCGAAAGGCGGTCCACTGACATGTTCACCAATGAATTGAGGGTCCAGATGTCGGACGTGTCTGCTATTTGCTTTTTTGCCTTAGTCCCTTGTTTACTTTCAAGCCAGAGGGGCCCGTTCTACTTACTAGATCTACATTGGCTAGCTATCGAGTGCAAGCTTGCTTGCCCTTGGGGACCTTGGGGGTAAAAAACAGTTTTTTGAAAGTTAGATGCCGCGCCAGGGCATCAGCCGAGCTTCTGACGTTGCGGGCATTCGTGTCTCCTGCAGGCTGGGATGCAATTCGGAAATCCGGTGTCTGGGTTTGCTGATTTTGTTTGGGGCAGCGACGCTCCTCGATCTCATTCCGATTCCAACTGTTTGCTCATTCAGTCCGAAGGAACATGGGGTCATGACGGTTGGGCCTTGACATTGATCATTGGTAATGGGCCAGGCACCCTGGGCCAAAGTCAACAAACGGCACTTTGCAGGCACACGTCCTGCTCCGTGCCGTTTCTGACTCAGAGTTTCGTTTCCTCAGTTGCCAGGTTCGCATTCTTGCGGGTGTGGTCCATCATGGACCTGCTGGGCGCTGGCTGGGTCTCTCTCTTCGAGCTGGCGCAGCGGGAGGCCGAAAGCTCGTGGCCCGCGGCGCCGCGCTTCGAGGACCTGGGGGAGATCAAGGAGATCCTCCGGCGAATTCCGGTGCAGCACTGGCAGAGGATCTCCCAAAGTGCTGATCTTCGGATGGAACTAGCTGAACTAGCTTTCAGGAAGCGAAGCGCGAGAAGGTTTTTGGACTAAGGACGAAGCACACTGGTCCTGCGATGTACGAACTGCGGTGGAGCTGCTGCTGCAAGCATCAGAGGCTGGTTGTTTGCCTGTGTGTACTGGCATGGTGCATTTTGCCGGAGAGCGGTGCCTACAGATGTCGCAATCAGGATGACAAGTGGCGCGCTGGATTCATCCATGCAGCTCAAATATATTTGTTCAGCTGCTGCTTGGCACAGGGCATGGCCTTTGCTTTTTGGATTTGTTTCGTCAGTCGCTCGATTGAGCTGCGGGTTCGAGGTGAGTTCGAAACGCTGATCCACCCCGGCATCTCGGCGGCATCGGCCCTTGTGGAGTTTTAGCCAACTAATAGGGGGTCGAACATTGCAGGAACTTTTGACCATGGCACATTGCATTTTTCAATAACAATAATAATAATAATAATAGTAATAATATTTTGATATATAGATGTATAAAACCATGTGGGGAGTCTGAGGCATGGCCGTGGTTTGGGCCTTGGTGGTGAAGCTGGGCCACATGGGCGTGAACGCCTCGCTGCCTCCCGCCTGCGGAGCTGAAAGGTTGTTCAAGGCGCCGCGAAGGTTGCTCTGCGGGGCGCAGGGTGGGAGGCCAGGCGGTTGGATGGGGCACGCGCAGGCCGTGCACGTTGAAAGAGTTGCTGAAAGGACTGACTGCTGTGGAGTCTAGCCTTGTCATGCTGCTGCTTTTGCTGTAGTAGCTCATTGAGTCAGCCAGCCTGCAATTCAGTTCAGCAGAGAGCAGGATAATCTTAACGCAGCTGTCAAACGCACCTGGTCCTGTTTGCGACACGAGAGTGCATCATCTCCAGCTGATTCACATGCACCAATTTCGGAGTACTTCAAGCTACCTCGAACGTTTGTTTGGCATCCGCTGTGAGTGGTGAGCCAATGAGCTTCATACGCTTGAGCACTGCATGGCGGCGCGTCGGAAGCCAGCGCGGCGCCAGTGGGGCCGGGGCTCGGGCCCGGGCCGCCGTGTTGGTGGACGGGCGCCGCAGCCTGGAGTTGGTCCAGGCGGAGCTGCGGCAGAAGCTGCTGCTGGGCGCCGTGGACGTCTGGGCGGCTGGGCGCCAGGGCGCCGCCCTGGCGCTGCGCGCGGCGGCGGGGGAGCGGCGCTTCGTGCTGCGCCAGGCGCAGGCGGCGGAGCTGGAGGCTGCGGGCCTCGAGCAGCGGGGCGAGGGCGACGTGAAGCCGGAGACCGGCGACCGCTTGGCCTTCCGGCTGCACTTTGACGGGAGCCCGGCAGCTTCCGTGCCCGAGCCACGGAAGGTGTTCCAAGTGGGGCAGAGCAGCAACTTGGATTTCATCCCGCTGGCCAAAGCCATCGCCACGGAGCTGCGGTGGCTGCCGAGCGGAGAAGTCTTGGCGGTGGAGAGCCTCATGCTTGGAAAGGCCAAGAATATGTGGACCAGATGCTTCAGCCTGGCCAAGGCGGTAGCCCAGGTCTACGAATGGCAAATCAAGCCAGAGGTCGCCCATACGGCAGTGCGGCCCTTTAGCTGCATGTCGCTGGAGCGCCAGCTGAGAGACTTCAAGGTGCATGGAGAGCAGCAGCAAGCGCCCAGGGCGCTGCGACTGGTTCTATTCCCAGAAGGCGACCCTCCACCAAGGCCAGATGGCAGCCCAGGCCTGCGAGTGGCCCAAAAAGTAGCAAGTTGCGCCCAGCCCCTTGTGTTCTTGAAGCATTTCCATGGTTTGCAGGTTTGATTTCAGATTCCCAGGTTTCTTACTTGTGCTGAACGTCAAGCTTTGGGGGCAGGCTTTGCTTTACAGAGCCAAACAATGAAATCACTGGGTCAGGCTTAAGGACATTCGCCGCTCGGATATGCAAAGATGGTCAAGCGATCATGGCCGCACTTTTCGGTTGCATTCTTTGCACTGCTCAGCACGTGGCTCAACGCATCACCCGTTTCCCTCGGCGCCATGTCTGGAAGCTCCGGGGCGCTGAGTTGGGGGCTTAGTGGGACGAGGCTTGGGGACCTGGTGAAATGCAATGGCCGGGGGAAGGGGACGCGGGGGGTTGCTCCATGTTGACACTGCGCCATGTGTGAAGCTGTCAGAGGATCTGGTCACGTGGGCAAAGAGGGGTTTTCCACTCGGGTCAGCAGTGTCTGCATGTTTGCCTCATGTGGGACCTAAGGCCCCAAGGTCAAGGTTGGCAGCTTGCATGGCAAGGCAGGCGGGCCGCGATGCCGGGTTAGTGGCAACGGAAAAGAAGACCACCAGGCCACAACAGCCATGACCGGCAAGGCCTTTCTTCCGTCAAGTTTTGTGACACCGTGTCTCCTTTGCAGCTTGCTGGCCAAGTAGCGTGCCAAATGAATTGCAGGCACGACAGAAACCACAGGCATAATTTTAGGCGGCTATTGAAAGCAGATTCAAAGAAATGGCAGTGGGTCAAAACCAATGGTACCATTTTGGGGTAGGTGCACCACCCATTTTGGGTCTATTTTAGTGGTTGGATTGGGATGTTCATTGGGGGTACAATTCGGCTTTTGACCCATGGCCGAATGAGTCAAGAAGTGGGTCAGCGGATCAGCGGATCCGCGCGCTTGGACCCGCAGGTGGCCATCATCAGCGGTTCGACACGAGGCATTGGCAAGGCCTGCGCTGTGGCTTTGGCCAAGCAGGCGCGACGGTTGGAGGAGAAGTGCGGTATGCGTTGGCTCTTGAAGGTCGTTGCTGGACGGTTTTTTAGCTAGGATCCTTTCAGTGGTTCCTTTTGAATGGTTCCTTTTGGCCTGGAGAAAGGACGCTCGGTTGCCATGGTTCACACGCACAAGTTGGCGATTCCTGGCAGGGCTGCAATGTGGTCGTGGCCGCGAAGACCACAACGCCGCAGCCAACGTTGCCAGGCAGGGCGTGTGGAATTCCGGCAAGGCATGCCTTTTGTCCCCAGTCTCAAACTAAGTCTTTCAGATCCGGAAGGTTCCGCAGTCAGGGGGTCCTATAGTTCGACTAGGCCTTGCTCATCCGCATATTGCCATCCAGTCATAGGGTCCCCCCCAACACTTTTTGGCAATTCTGTGATTACGCCCACCAAAACAACCCATTGTGAAACAACCCATTTTCAACCTTCAAATCCAATCACCCAACCAATCCAACCCCAAACAACACATATTATCATACCCATCTTCATTTCTTTTCCCATCTCAACATATCCCTACACTCATTCAATAACAACAATAAAAGCTACATACTATCTCACAACTCTCCAACAAATCCCGCCCCAAAAATCCAAGCTACATACCAAAAACTGCTCACTCTCAATCTCCAACCCTCAAAATCTCAAGAATTTCTCCCTTGATCCAACTTGACACCCTTGCCCATTTCCAACAAATAAGAACAGTCTAAAAACAACCCTATGTTCACTCCCCAAAAAGCGGTTAACCAATGGAAAAAGGGAATCCTAAGGGCTAACTCAAATCATGAAAAATCATCCCAGTGAATATGGATGCCAAAATGTGGACGGGACAGGGCTTCATGAGATAGATGTTCACCGTCATGGCTCATGTGTTGACGGCTACAAGTGCAACAGACGTAGGCAGCAGTTCCAACTGACAAGGGCGACGGCTCCAACTGACATGGGCGACAGATGCCACTGCGCAGCAGCAATCGCAACAGCCCGTTGCAACAGCCCCAGAATTCCGGTCAACAACTCAAGAACTGCCGTAGACTTCCGGAGCAACAGGCTTTAGGCCGTAGCAACTGCGCCAAGACATTCCTTGCACGGTAAGGTAGTTTCACCACTGTCCCGATAGTTTGACAATTCCCATTGAACAAGGTTGCCTTGTCACTTCACACTGCGTCATGGGGATCCAATACGCCGCTCACGATCAGCAACATGCTTTTCTTTGCAGATTCACCTATCGAGATTCGTTTGATGCAATTGTTTTTCAGTTCGATGTCACATGTGAGCAACATCATTGTGTTTGTACATTGAATTTTAGACGTGGCAAGCCTGCAGCATCATGTTGCCATGAAGCACAACCGTGCGCAGAAGCAGCGGCTGCGCGGGCTTTCAGCTGCGTGTTTGTTGCTGCTCCTCGCATGCTGGACTCCAGCAGGATTTGTGAGGCATGCCATTTCACATCACCGTGATGCTGTCCAGCTGGCTGCGTGTGACACAAGATGGTGGTGTGAACCTGGCGGTATCAATCGCAAGCTGCGCGAGTGTTTCAAAGAGCACATGCAACAGATGCCGTGCCCCTGTTGAAGGACTATGCAATGTATGAGGCCACCTTGCCAGCGCGGGAGCGCGGTGTTCGTAAACCATTGAAACTTTATCAGCTCCCTTTTTTATGCCACGCAGTCCTCATTGGACACGTTTTCAAGAGACATGGCCGTGGACGAGCAACGGCCAACAGTTGCATACATCGCTGCCTCCTCCCAGTCAGGAAAGTCGGCGTTTGTGTTGGAGGCTTTTCTTAGATCCAGAGATGAAGGATCCCAGCGGTCGCGTCAGCGCGAGTTTGCTCTTGATAGGCGCCACCACGGCTTTGCGAGAGAATACACTAGTCAGTAACAATCCAACTCTATATTTTTGATTACCTAAAAAATGATACAAAAATAGATCCAGTTGATATTCATAGTTGATATCAGGGGCAATAAACGAGTTGTACCCAGACAGTCGCTTTTTCCGTTCCACGTTCTCTTGAAACCACTCCTTGACATCTTGCACTGTTATGGATGCACCTTTTTTCTTGGCGTCTTCGTACGTGACCTTTTGCGGCCAATATCCAGCACGATTGTGGTAGATATCACTGATGATCTTGTCTTTATCACTCCTATACATAATGCGATAAAGCAAATCTCAATATGTTATTTTGTCATTGAAACACCGATTACAAGAAGCACAAAGAGCCACAAGGTTATCTTTTGTATGGGGTAGGTCATTACATAACCTTTGACAAGTCAAGTTAGAGTTTATGTCACATTCATATAAATCTTCTGTTTCTTAGTGTAGTCAGTGCTTATAAGTGTAGGGATTGTATTCATTAAAGCCAACAAGTAAACAAGGGTTTTCAGATGGTGTTTCAACCAATATTTGTGAATATACAGCATGTGATAAATGTTCAACGGTAATCAATGCTATCCAAATTCATAATTCTAAGTAGGATTGTAGCACTGTTAATATTAGTAAAAATACACTTGATGAAGATTTGGAGATATTCGTATCTATTGAAATGAAGAAGTTCTTGACTGTAGAAGAGTTTGATATCTTATTACATACTGGTGATGATGATGGAAATGACAATGATTCTATTTTTAAAGCGTTATGGTATTGTAAAACGATTATATGATATTCTTTTACTGTTGAAAGGTTAAAGCATGAAGCATGGAATGATCATGACTTTATTTTTTTGCAACGCACGTCTAATTTAAGTGAGCTTGTTTTTTTACAGTAAAAAGAGCAGTTAGAACATTGGGCTGGTTTACAAACAAAGGAAATATTATTTTCAATGAGAAAACAAGCAACAGAATCATGAAAAGGATTAAACGGAGTTCTCAAAATGCGGACGTTCAATAGAACCTCACGAGACTTCGTGATGGGCAAGGCTTAGGTAGATAGTCACCACGGCTTATATTAAGAAGTATACTATAATTGCGACATATAAATTCTTATATGTTGTAACTATAGCAAAGCCATAATCTAATTAGATATTTTAAATGCCATCCATATTTACTGGGATTGTTGACATGATGATTTGAGTTAGCCCTTGTGATTTCCGTGTTCCATTGGTTAACCGCTTTTGGGGGAGTGAGCATAGGGTTGTTTTTAGGTCTTATTTGTTGGAAATGGGTAAGGGTGTCAAGTTGGACCAAGGGAGAAATTCTTGAGATTTTGAGGGTTGGAGATTGAGAGTGAGCAGTTTTCGGTATGTAGCTTGGATTTTTTGGGGTGGGATTTGTTGGAGAGTTGTGAGACGGTATGTAGTTTGGGGTTGGATTGGTTGGGTGATTGGGTTGAAGGTGGGTTGTTTTGGCGGGCGTACTCAGAATATGCCAAACAGTGTTGGGCGACCCTATGACTGGATGGCAATATGCGGATGGGCAAGGCCTAATGTAACTCCTATGTTGGCTTGTTTGAGTTAGACAACTTACTCTTGCATGTTGATGGTGTTTTCCGCTTGTTTGGTTCAGGCACAATCTACTCCGTGGCAGAGGAGACCTTTGCTTGTGTTTTTGCATGCTTGAAATGTCAGCAGTCTTTCAGACCTCGGCAAATTCAATTGGTTTGATTTGCAACGAGCCTGAAACACCTAAACCGATGAAGGTGTGTGTGTGGGGGTGCGCAGTGAGAATCACATTCTTTAGCTTTCAGCCGTGAATTGTTATAGCTTCAGCAACGTTATCCCTGGAATACAAGTAAGGGACGCTCTTAGCACAAACCTTATGATGTTGATTTCTTGTGAAGGACGAGTTAAAGGCACGATAAGAAGCACTACCTGTGCATTCAGCAAAACAAAACCAACCAACTAGCCAATCAAACAACCAAACAAAGCAAACAAAAACAAACCCACAAACAAACAAACCCAACAAACACCCAAACAAACAAAACATACTTCACAAACAAGAAACCCAAACAAACAAGACACCAAAACAACAAGCCAACCACCAAACGAGCAAACAAGCAAACAAACGGCCGAAACAAAGCAAGCACAAACGACGTATAGAATTAATGTGTGCCTTATGTGTGCAAGGTGATTCTGTTCATGTTGTCCGCAAGTGTTTTGACTGCGTGTGTCGTTTGTTGTTTGGCCCAACTTCATTAAGGCGGAGACAAAGAAAGCTTCGCAATGTTGGTTTGACAGTTCTCCATTGTCGTTTGCCTTTTTGTGTTTCCTGTGTTTTGATTGCTTCCTCTTGTAGGGAACCAGTTAGTTCGCTCTAGTGTGCCATGATCAAAACACCCGTCTGCTTGCCGGGTTGGTATGGATGGTCATGGATCCCTCAAAAAAAACCATTGCAAGGATGGCCTACATGGTGCTTGTGGGCCCAGTCTCTTTCACTTTAGGGAGCTTCCCAGGAGCTGGAACAGCTGGGGGTCAAGGCCCTACCGGTGAAGGCTTGCGTCAAGGGGGGGAGGTGTGCTGAGCAAATCGGTTTAGGATGTAGAACCTGGATTGATGTCATGGATTAGTATGGATTGGTATGGATTTGCATGAGTTAGCATGGAGTGGTTTGGGTTTGCTGTTTGGAGAGCCGAACCTTTGGCAAACCAACACGAACCACCAAACTAAATAGGGGAAGCTGCCTGCAGCATCCCAATTGCGCAGAGTCGTTTTGTCGTCGCTTAGTATTCGGGAGGGAACTCTCTTATGCTGCGGAGGCAAAGCATAAGCAGTTCCAGTGGAGAAAACGATCGCGTAGGCAGTCCCTGTAGGCTGTTCAAAGTCCTGCGTAGGTTCGCATAGGCATGTTTGGCCTTAAACAAAGTTAAGAGTAGCGCGCGAGAAAGGTCTGCGTCGCTCTCCGCGTAGGCGCTTGTTGCGGCGTAGGCTCGCGTAGGCACCCTTCCAGTGTTTTACACACCCGCAGAGGCTTCGCGGAGGCGTGGCTGCCAGTGGGCCGACACACCCAACCTCTACTCAATTGATGCAACACAGACTGAAGTCTTGATTTGGACCGACGGATGCGCACAACTTGATAAGCCGGGTGTGGCCTTCGCAATTCTGGCTCCTGGGCCCAGGCGGTTTCTCACAGCACAGACATCGTTGGACGGAGCGTGTCAACGGGCAAGCCGCGTTGAATGCGTTACGGCCACAGACCTCAGAGGTGGACATGCGCAGCCTGGACGACATCCAGGAGTGCGTGCGCCAGACGGCTGCAGCCTCGCTTGCTTGACCGGCTGGCCACACAGCAGTTGGCCCTTGTTGGACCCACGGCATCCGTCAAGCATTGACTGACCCCAAAGGACCAATGGTAGCGCGGAAGGCATATGGTTTGCCCGAACATGCCCGAAGCGGCTGGGGGGCGGCTTTTTGAGGTGGATAAGTTTGGGCGCATCGACATTCTTGTGAACAACGCCAGCGCGTTGTGGTGGCAGAGGAGCCCAGAGCCACCAACCGAGCCAGCAAAAAGCGTCGTTGGCAGGATAGAAGACACGCCCATGAACAAGTACGACCTGATCACCCAGATCAACTCGCCTGGCCCTGAAATCTTGAAACCCGCAGAGGGCCGCACTTTTCAGACATGTCTACGTGCCCGCATTTTTTCCGTGCGTGCTTATTATCCCTTTTCGTGTCCTCTGTCAGAGAGCTAGCTTTCAAGCTTTGTGGGACCTGAGCTGCAGTCATGAGAAAGAAAGAGAGAGGAGGGAAGAGGCAAAACTGGGAATGCAATGAGCTAGGAGAGGCAGCTTCGCCCTGACCCACCTCTGTTTGCCTGTCATGGCAAAGAACAAGTGGGCAGCTTGGATCGCGTTGTCTGATGCTGGAATCAGCGCTGGCTGTCCAGGTTCGGCCGGGTCATCAACATGAGCCCGCCTCTTCAGACCGACTTCCGCGCGCTGAGCTCTTGGGTGCTAGTGCAGCATCGCGAGAAGGGGCTCTGGTGGCTGTACGGCTGTACATTGTACCAGATGGAGAATCCAGGTTTCGGGGGGGGGGGGCATCTCCTTTTTGCGCAACTTGCGCAGTCTGCTGGGCCCAGGTACAAAGGTTTTACCGCCTACAACATCTCCAAGTTTGGCATGACCATGGTAGCGCCCCCAGCTTCAAACATTGCATGTGGAGCAGGGAAGTACCGGGTGGCCAAAGCCCGCCCTTGCCAAGTCTGCCCTTGGGGCTGCCGCAGAGTACGAAGGCGGGTGCCGGCGTCATTGGCCAGCGGCTGTCAATTGATGTTGGTGTCATGGCGTGTGGCTTGACCAACCCGGCTGCACTTTGTCAGATGTGTCACAGCTTATTGGGCTTAAGCGCAGTGCGTGCGCTGCAGGGCAAGGCATCACCGGCAACAGCTTGTGGCCGGCAACCGTGATTGAAAGCCAGGCTGATCAGCTGGGCGTGCTTTTTGGAGTACGTTTGAGCCAACATCAATTTGGCTGGAAAATGTCAATTTCTGAAGCAGTGTTCACTTGCAAGTAATCATGACTCTCAGCGCCCGACATGCATGACCGCCAGCTTTCATAGGTGGCCTTCCCAGCTGTCATGTTCCTCGCAGGTCACACTTGAAGGTCCTCTGGTCGCCTGTCAGGCCTCCAAGAACTTTGAGCTGGGAGGCCGAGAGATGTGGCGCAAGGCCGGCGACATGCTAGAGGTAGTTGCTAAAGTCGCTTGCTTTGAAGGGCCACGCTGTTTCCGGCTGCTTGTTTAGCAGAATGATTGTTTTTCAGTTTTCGGTTAGCTTGGCTTTTCATTTTTGGCGGTTTCCGGCTAGTCTGACGTTTCTGACTTTGTTGCCCTTCTGGCTTCCTGTGGCTTGTTTGGCTTCTGGAGATTCTAGTCTGAAGCGAGCTTTCTTGAGCTCCACCATGCAAGCCAAAGGGGTTGTTCTTGGAACTTGACATTTGCAACAGGCCATTGTTGATCCACAGCTTGAAGCGAATGTACAGAAGGGAGGCTTGTAGCTCTACACCAGATCCAATGAGGCTATCAACAGTGTGCTGGTGTTGGGTGCGTTGTGGCTGCACAGGCTCAAATCCTCTCAGACTGCGTCCTGGGCATCGTTTGTGGTCCAGATGCGCGGCTGCACTCAGACTTTCCCAGTGCCCGGCGCATGAACCTGTTTCACCCACGCAGTCCTGAGGACAGCTTCACTGGGCACCAGCTGATAGACGATGAGCATTCTCCTCAGGATACTGAGCAGACACTGTCACTTCCTTCGCTTTCATTGCAGTCGCTTGCTCTCTTAGCGCAGAGCACTTAGTCCAGAGGTAGGTTCAAACACCACCCCCTTCCAGCTACCGCCTTGGAATTGATTGAGAAATTTGGGCCATTTCCGGGCGGGGGGTTGCTACGACGTGAGGTACCTCCAGCAGGAGCACAATCTTTCTGCAGAGGACCTGGCAGAAGCTCAGCTTGAAAAAAAGTGGTGGGTTTAGATGACACCCAAATCACCTGCTGTGGGGATTCCTGCAAGTTCATGTTCCTCTTGTAGGGCCCCCCTGTCAGGTGCCATGTTAGTGGGAGGGAGGGTATTTGTCGCGCCCATCGAAGGCAATGGATGTCACTTGCGAAGCATGTTGAGCACAACAGGAGGGCCCAACCATATTCAAATTCGCGGCTGGCTTGTCCTGCCTAGGTCTACAGATGTGTTCCAGATGTGGAGCCCCCACGCGCTCTTGCAAGCCACGGCCATATGGGAGCAACTGGCCGGGGCCTCGGACTGTTTGGAGAGGTGCGCGCAAGCTTCCGATGATTTGGATTTTCACTTGTCAAGAAATGGTTTCAACAGCATTCCTCCAACAGAGATGCATATCACAGCAAGGCGAGGCAGCCATTTCATTCTCACCGTGGAAGCAGTGGGCACGCACATCATGTTGAGACTGGCTCACATGAGGTGATGCCACCGTGCGAAGAGGGGACGCTCGGAGCTCAGCAGTGTGGGAAGAATGGAAATAGCAGACAGACATGTTAAACCTTGAACTCAATCGACTGGTGATGGCGAGAGGCATCTTGCAGATGATTGCATCGCGAAAGTCAGCCAGCACATGAGCAACACAAGATGCTGCTGGGGGCATTTGTTGCTCATGGTCCCCTATCGGTGTGCTCATGGTACATTAGATTGGCAGGCGGTACGTTTTCACATGCTGCCACTCTCAGAAGCATGAAGAGGTTGCCGATGTAATTGCCCCCCCGGTTCAAGGCTGAGTTGCGTTGCAGCCCCGAAGAAGAGGACCAACAAATCGGCCTTTCTGGGCCACTGGCGTCTTCGGAAAACTGCCCAAAATGAGCCTTCCGAGGTCCGCAAGTTGAATACCGACGTGAAGGGCTCCTCCGCCCTGTCCAAGTTGTGAAACAGAGCTCAAAACCGGGCTTCCCCTCAATCCTCGCTCTTTAGGCGAGACTTGGCCCAGTGACCTGTTGCTCCCTGGGTCCTTAAGTCGAAAGTTGCTGGCTCGGTGATTGACTGGACCGGCGAAAAGGAGGTCACTGCAACGGCGCTGGTTCGACACGCGAGCCGGACCTTTATTCAAGTGACCAAGAACATGTGAGGCCTCATGTGTTGGAAGGTGCCTAGCAGACATCAGTACTCCCAAGAGAGTCATGGATTTCCTGCACGTTTTGTGTCGCCGCCATTTCAGCTGAAAGAAGGAAACCGCGAGCAAGCAACTCCGCGCATGGCGTCAGTTTGCTTACGTCAAAGGCGTGTCCTTAGAGCACCAGTGCCAGTTTCAAAAGGCGCCCCTTGGCCACGGGAACCATTTGCCAGCGAGGAACCTGCCAATTCAGTCACCAGAGATACCTAGGTTTCTGAATGATCTGGAATTTGTGCCTGTGCCGAGCCGCAACCGGCGGCCTGGACGCAATTGCCAGTTGCAGCGGGAGGTATCATTTGAGGTGTTGTTTCCTGCTGGATTGGGATTTGTTTTCCAGTCTCCTGGAAAGCGAACAAGCAAGGAAGCAAGCAAGCAAGCAAGCAAGCAAGCAAGCAAGCAAGCAAGCAAGCAAGCCTACCCTAAACCAACCCCCCGCAAGCCCTTAACCCACCCTAAACCCACCGCAAACCACCCTAACTTATAACTCCTAGCAGAAACCCAAAACGCATAAATTTAAAACCCTGGCTAAATTCATGCGAAACCAACTCGAAGTACAGTCTTAACCACAAACCCACGTACACTCCCGAATCCCACCCGAAACACATCTTAAGCCACCCCAAGCCAACCCTGAATGCGCCTTAAACCCTCCATGAACCAAACACAAGCCACTCCAAACCCACCCCCAACCAACCCGAAACCCTAAGCGTGCAATAAACCCACCTTAAACAACTCTAAAATGGACCGGACAAAATCCCAAAAACGTCGCAGCAAAAAATCCAACGAAACAAGGGCGGCCGTTTTGGATGGCCTCGGCCAGACAGAACCACCGAATAGCGTGATTTACTCTGCATGGGGGCTGGAAGTGCCACCTGGCTCAAAAGCTCCAAGTCATCGTTTGCCCACCAAGTCTTCGGCTTGGAGCTGAGGCGCTCATGTCGGGGCATTCGGATGGGGAGGCGCATCGGTCGGCAGGGACAGGGCTGTCACGCCTTTGGCGCACCAATGCTATTTTGGAGGTTGTCCGGGTTCACACTTGCACTGTCTCATGAGATGTGTCCACCACAAGCAACAACCCAGCCCCTGTCTTAATTCTCAGCAACTTTGAGGCAAAGGTTTCCGCGGGTCAAAAGGTTCAGGCCATTGCACATCTTAGTGACAGAGTGCTGCGAGTGTGCTTCCACGCTGTGGGTTCCCGCGGCGCGCTCGCTGGGCCAGGCGCTTTCGGCGGAGTCCAGCGGCCTGGCCTTTGGTGAGGCGGGGCTCGCAGTGGGGTCCGATGGCCGCGGTAGATTTGCGAGCAAACATTGGACTGGCCAGCGCTGCCTACAATTCCCAAAAGGGCGTCCAGTGTTGGATTGGCAGTTTGGTTCGGAACATCGTCACAGGTCATCCGCGACTACGTGCCAAATCCGGCAGCCTCCTGGCGAAGTGGCCGACCCGATTTCTTGCAGGTTCCCTGGATGCATGTTTCGCGTCAGCTGGCTGTACTCTGAATGAAGAGTCGATCCGCCAATCCAAACGTGGTGTCTGAATGCTGATGGTCGGGGAAAGGTGCTCCTTTGTTGCTCCTCTGTTTGTCCTATTTTGCGTCAAAGTCTGATGTGCAACATTCAGGGAGTCAATGCGAGGCCATGCCCTGTCACCACATCAGCAATCCACTCCAATGTCTTCGGGTTGCCGGAATGACTGGCGCTGACATCCAGCCGAAAGAACCCGTTTCATGAGCTCACAACGTGGGGCCAGCCGTGCCATTTTGGGCTACGCCTCTTTCGCTGACTCCCTGAGCCTGTTGCAAGACGAGTGTTGACCAAGGCTTCGACTTCGCCCAAAGTTTGGCATTGGAAGGAAGCCGCTTCAAGCCGCTTTTAGCGAGTCAGGTCAACCGGACCTTCTTCGAGCACCGATCGCTGGAGCACGAGGTTGGCTCGCTGGAGGCCGTGGTTAGCAAGCTGATCAAGAACTGGGCCGCTAGCCCAAAGTGGAAAGGGGGAACGCCGAAGCTCCTGGGAGGGTTGACAGTCGATATGTCTGAGATGGGCTTGGCTCCTTTTGGCTTGACATGTTCAACAAATTGCAAGGCGGCCTGGGTCCCAAATTGGCCAGACACGGGTGTGGCACTGCGGATTTTAGGCCTAATGGTCGCTCAGACTGAAGATAAAGTAAACAAGGAGCACGCCACACAATTGAGGTTTCTTGGCAAGGTCATGGATCCTTCACTGTGCAGTACCAACGATAGCTGCAGTGCACTGGCTAAACCAAACAACAGTGATGACAAGAGCGATTCATGGCAAGTTAAGTGATCAAATCGATCACATTAGTCGTGAATTGCGATGTCACGACGTAGATGGAACACGCCGACTTGCTCATCATATGAGGCATGCTGACATATCCTGACCAGAGGTTGCTTTTGCTTTTGGCTCCAAGTGGCACCTCTTGCCCGAGGCAGTCGAGACACATCATGTGGCAGATGTGCATTTGTGGAAGACGATGGACATCTCCAAGTTCCAGGCCCAGTGAACTGTGCCGCCTTTTTGGCCGAAGAGGTCCAACTTTGCCTGAGGAGGTGGAAGACCTAGAGTTGTTGTGCATCCAAACCCCCCAACCCCCCCCAACCCCCCCCAACCCCCCCCCAACCCCCCCACCCCCCACCCCCCACCCTGTTTCTGCGTTTTGTCTTTGGGGTGACCATCAAATGCTGCGCGGTGCCCTGTGGCCACCAGACAGCTTTTCTGTTTCGACGAGATGAGACGGGGCCTCACTGCTCGGTCTTCTCAGGTGTTCCCCTTACGGGGCATGCTAGTTGAAAGAATCAAAGTCTTCCCTCCACTGGCTTTCCACACGGTCTGGAACCAGACGAAGTGTGATGTACTGCGGCAAGGCTGCTGTGAATGGCGGATGTCCTGTACTTTCACAGCAGATGGCCGACATGGGGGCTTGTAACCTGCTCCCTGGCGTGGCAGAGATGCCATAGCTTCATTCTTTGCGATTTCAGCCTCGAGGGTCCAGTTGCTGAGGTTTCTTGGCGAGTCAGAAACGTACAATTGCCGCCCCTTAGCTGAGATGAATGGTTCACAAAGTGAGTCTCCAGAAGCAACGCAGACCAAGGTTTGCACAGCTTTGAGTCGATGCAGAAGGCGTGAGCCAGTCGTGGTGTGTTCTCAAATGTGGCGACTCCAACTCTCAGCTCCAATGACTCCAGCTCTGGGGTTCCCCAGCCCTCAATGCCCAGGTGTTCCGCGCTGCTTTTCCCATGGGCTTTGCCTGGGAGTGCTTGGAGGCGCGCATCCGGAGTGCTGATCGTGAAACGAGTGAATTGAATATCAGCGGTGAGAGCCGAGGTCTTCTCAGGACCGCCTACTGCTCCTTGCCTGCACCAGACGCTGAAGTTCTCGCGTCGATGCCCGGCAGGATGTTGGAGCTGAGGTTGTTTTCAAGTGGAGGCACTTTGGCAAGTACACTGGTGTGTTCACGGCCAAGAGCGGTAAGAAGTACAAGGGGAATGGACAGATGCTGAGCATCTTGGACAGCAATGATACGGTAACTTGATTGTTTAGCCAAGCGCAAGCTGTGGTTACACACCAAACATATATGGCAGGATTAGTGGTGTCGACAATACCTTTCAGACACTGTAAAAAATGCAGTCTTGAAGATCGTAGTCATCGGTGAAACCAACGGTCACAGCTGCAACAGTGATCAATCAACTTTGACAGGCATCGTCGGCATGTGCATTGCCAAGGCGGGTGGAGACTTGAGCCAAAGTACTGTGACCAGAGTTCCGCATGGACAGGGGGCCAAGACGCATGCTCAACACGTTGGTCCAGGGAGGTCTCCAAACAACTGAGGTGGAGGGTCCAGGAATGGCCAGGAGCAAAGCACCAGTTCATAAACCTTGGGAGCTCTGACCTGACAGTGCGATCCCAAGTGCAAGTGCGCAGGTTGATACAAAATTGATGCTCACGGGTTTCGACGTCTACTACAACCCAGTCACCTGACTGCACATTGCGTTTCGCACCAGCATGTCGCTTTTGGAAATTGGCGAGCTGACTGGGATGAGTTGATATGTGCATCCCACTGGTTCATCAGCCCATCCCACTGGTTCATCATCCCACTGGTTCAGCCCTGTCATAAGAATCACCAGCCCCAAATCCCGGGGAAGCAGAGCTCGGAGCTGGCAAGCTCGCGAAGGAAGAGCTGACGGAGCTTCTCACTACCATGGTGGATGCCAACTGGCGGCCATTGGGCGACGAAGAAGCTGTCACCTGGCGACTGGCGTCTGGGTTGGATCGCTTGGTGTCCTTTTGGCTTGAAGCAATCCCCAAATAGGCAAACCAGGCATTGTCGAGCCATAGGTAAAGTGTCCGGAAGGTTTGTTCCGACACTTGAGCCAGGCGGCCAACTTTCAATTGCTTAATCCTACTTGCCGCCACATGGGTACCAGATAGCAACAGATGGGCCCAACCTTTGAATCAAAGCAACAAGCAAGATGGATGGTCCTTGAAGGGTTCCAACTAGGGAACACGTAATTTAAGCGTAATAGCTAGATGTTAGGAGGTCCACCAGCTTGGTGCCGGCACCATGCAGCACGTACCAAGAATTGGGTCTGAGCATTTGAGGATGGCACCTCCCAGGGAGGTGGCTGCCGGAACAATTCATGTGTCCTCATGTGATGGCCGGCCATCTTCCTTGTACAGAACTTGAGGCAGAATGCCTCATGCCAATTGAGGAATTGAAGGGAACTATGGCTTGCCTCCCAGGTACTTTTTGTTTGACGATGTTCAAACAGACTCGTGCCGTGACTGGCATGCTTGTCAATGAGACACACGCTACTTTGCCACAAGTTGTTTTTTGCACAAGCATGCTCTAGAGTTGCCTGGCTCCAAAGAAGCACGGGCTTCTGTTTCACCGAGTCTACAAAGACTTTGCACGTGTACACGTGAGTCCTATCACTTTTTCTTCGCCCTGGTTTTGAGTACAAAGCTTTCTGCCGTGAGTGGTTGTGGAATACGCGGTGTCTACAAAGGTATCAAAGAGCCCATTCAAGTGCCTGGAAAGCAGGCTGTGACCGCCAAAGATGGGTCATGTCCGAGAGGTTGAATTGGAGCGAGTCGTGGATGCAAAAGAGGGCAGAGTGCGCTTGTGCACGAGTCGAACCATGGCCAGGTGCGTTCAGATGCATGCAAGTTTTTGGACTCAACTTGAGAACGGCTGCCAGTTGCTTGTATCTCAACGCCGTTTACTTAAATGCTCAAGGCTATGCCCCCCCCCTCCTCGAGATTTGAGCCGGGGTCGTCCCATGAAAGAAAAGGAGAAGCGAGAGATGTTGGTGTGCACTGGATGCGGGCAGCGACGATCGAAGATGCCGTCGAGCTGGACTTTGGATGACTGCCTCTTCTATTGCCCGGCCTGCTGGCAGGAGATTTGGTCTTTGCCGCCCACTGCTTTGGGCAACTGCGATGCCCCGATGTCGGTAGCCCTAGGGCCAGAGTGTCAAATGTTCGTCCATGACTTGTCTCCTTGTCTTTTTTTAGGATCTGACTTGTCCTTCCGCACCAAAAGTTTTGTCTCAGACAGGAGACCAGCTGCGGGCTCTGCGGGCACCATGACCCCAAGGGCTCCAACTTCAAAGGCGCCTGGAATTGCCGCGCCTGTCGGCACAAGCGGATCGTCAAGGACGGGGCCGTTCGAGACATGGAGAGATGGCATGGGATGCTTTCCATGTGCCACGTGCCACGTCCATACAGAGTAGTTCCCCCTATATCATGTCCCTGAACACAACGACAGAAGTTCATCAATCCGGAGTTGATGAGTCCGGACACATTAGCTCCGGGAAACATTCACAGAGCGGGTTTCCCTTCGCTTGTCGCTGGACCTTGGCAGGAGAAACATGCTCCTGACCACGACGTTCTGCAGCAATTGATCATCAGCGAGAGCTCGGCGCTGTGCAGCTAGGCAAGCTGAGGCTGTCAGCGAAAGCTGACAGGAAAGGGGCTCGTTGATAGCCAAGCGTTTGCGTTGTCAGGTGATTTGCGCGAGTTATACGATACTATGGCAAAGCCGACTTGGAACGAATAAGCCCGTCATGATGAACCACGTGACATATACGTGACGTAACACATTGCTATGCGATGCTGTTACAAGCATTTGCCTCGGACGTACCTAGGAATGACAATATGTACAAGGTGGGTCTAAAGCAGCACATGTAGCTTGGGAGCTAGAGCCAGGAGGCCAATCCAATCGCTAAGGGTCAAGCAGATCACCCAAGCCGTGCTGTCCCTGATCCTTTACACTTTGGTACGTCACCAAGAGCCCGATTGCACGACTGGTCCACGTGCGGTCACACCTGCAGCATGTTGCTGCATTGGGCGCGGGTCATCAAACTCAACTGCGCTTAGAACGTGAAAGGGTTACAAAGACCAACAATTGCTGCATGACTGAGCTTGACTGAGCTTGTCAAACATGTTGCCATCCCGCAACACAGGATTTTGAACAAGCCGCAGAGCCAGGTAAATGCGATGCTGCGCAAGCATGATAGTATGCACATTTGATGCATTGGCCACATTGATGTGTGGATGATGACAGGCCAGTGTATTAGCGTGTCGACAAACTGCCATCCACTGCGAATGTAATGAAAAGACATACAAACGGAACGACAAGACTGTATGATGCAAGCCCAATGTGTGACACAATGCAATTGAGGACCTTGAAATGTAAGGACATGTGGCTGCATGCAGTTGTTGTGACTACCACTGCTTCATTGGTTTCACTGCTTCATTTTAATTTCTTTCTTGAACGCATACCCACACCTTCTTCCCAGCGATTCAATGATAAACTTGGCGATATTTTCTACATACAGCCAACAGCCAAGGCCAGCCGGAGTGCGCGGCCCATCCTGCACCACCAGCAACGCCCTGAGTGAGGGAAGTGAGCTGTGTGTACGTATGCATGTGTGTGTGTGTGCAGGTGCGTGCGTGCGTGCATGTGTGTGTGTGTTGTGCGTTTATGTTTGTGTCTGTGTTTGTACTTGTGCTATTTGGTTATTTTGTTTGCTTCATTTTGCGCTTTTTTAGTTTTGTGTGTCTCATGTGTGTGTGTGTGTGTTTCTGTGTTCTTTTTGCTGTTCTTCCAAAGCAATGCTTAGCAAGCTGGGGAGGCCGTAAATTCGAACTGGGGATGTTGGGCATCACACTGTTTGGCCCGGGCACGTAGAACCGTCATTTGTTAGTCTTTGTCAGTGAATGAAAATGCAGACGTTCTGAAAGATTGGCCCGTTATGGTGTTCAGATGTGTGAAGCTTCATTTGGGAGCACTACTTGTGAGGAGGCCAAGCACGCTTGCCGGTGTGTGTGTGTGTGGGTGTTTTTTTTCCGCAGGCATCCTTGTGTAAGGCATAGCGGGTGCAAGGGCGCGCCTCAGTGGCGCAAACGCTTTATCACCCTTATGCAATCAAGACGCCAGAATGGGAAAGCCTGCATTTGTTCCGGGAGAGTGTTGTCTTTGTTGAACACGTGGTCCATGTATACTTTGAGAGAATCGTGCACCTATGTTTCAGCAGGAAGGATTAGATCATAGAGACCGTCTCATCTCAGCAATCTACGATCCATCTTAATGTTTTGGTTGCAGCCCCAGAGACTGCCATATGGAGGTAGTGGCTCAGCTCTATCATTTGGGGTGTCTGCTGCTTGCCAAGTTTGCAAGGTCTTGTTCCACTGAGGCAACTCTCTGGGACGCAGAAGCAGATGTGAAAAATTGGAGCGATGATGAGAATGCGGAGGACGATGTTGTATGCACATTGACAGCATTAGGCGGAGGCAGACAGGTCTCCCAATGTCAGCCTGTTCCACTACGAGCAACCTGTAGTTTGTGTGCTTGATAAATGCTGAACATCGAGAGAAGCTGGTTGCGCTTTGCGCTGTTGTGCTCCTACCATGTGGCAATGGGTCAAAAATGAATGGGTCAAAAATGCGTAGCCAAAATGGAACCATGGTAAATGGAACCAAAGACTAAACCCTGGGGTCCCCTGGTGGTTTTGTTTTGACTCATACCCGTGCCCCTGAAGACCAAGGTGACCTACCAGTGAAGTTGCAGCCAAAGGTGCACGTGCCTGACGCTCGCCACATTGTCCTGCTTCTGGATGCCTCGGGCAGCATGCGCAACCAGGACGTTGACGCAGACCCAGAGATCCAAAAGGCGCCTCAAGACGAAGAATTTCCTCAAAGCTGCCTCGTCACCCTTGTTTGGAAGTCCACTTTTTGTTGGTTTGTATGAGGTTCATCGAAGACGTGCCAGTATCTGTCCCTGCCAGTTGTATCCTCTGAAGGAGCTGGGAAATTCATGTCCGCAGTTGACGAGACTGGAGGCCGCAGAGCTTTGTGCGATGAAGTTTGCGAAGGAGCACGAAGTTGCTCGCCCACAAGACGTTTTCTCGGTGGTGACCTTTCATGAAACGGCCTCGATCATCGCGCGACAACTGTCCGCAGCAGAAGTGGCAAAGGGCCTCGCGTTGTCAGATCGACCTGCCAATGGCACCTTTTATTTGGAGGGCTTGAAGGCAGCGGTGGGCTTGCTGTCTGAGAAGCGCTGGCCAGGAACTGTTGTTCTGCTGTCAGACGGTCGCCCAGCCGACACCAAAGCCGCCCTGGCTTACCTGCAGGAACATTTCTTAGGCCAAGAGATCCAGCTGCATGGAATCGGTTTCGGCAGCCGCGTAGAGAGCTTCGCAGCACTTCAGCAGCTGGCGTGTTTGACGGGGGGCACCTTCGCTCTGTCCGGTTGCACGGTGCGTGGCCTGTGCCGCGCCTTCTCCTCGGTGTCTTCCACCATCACTGCCGGTCCTGGCGGCCGCCCGGAGCTGGCCAGTCAGAAGCCACGAGTGAGGGAGGTCACCTACGAGCTGCCAGAGGTGGGGGTCTTCGGCAAGAAGCACGTGGTGCACTTCTCTGCAGCGCGGAGCATCTTCAGCTGCTTCGCCTTAGAGCTGAGGCCTTTACCCCTTCCAACAATGTCTTTTGTTGGCTTTGTGCCTGAAATGCAAGGCCAGCCTTCAATCCAACGCTAACAAAATTTGAGGCAAGACATGGGCTGTTGTTTAGCTGCAATTTTGAATGGAGAAGGGAAGGTGCGCATCCTGGCCGAATCAAGCTTGCATGATTCCCTACCACGGTCAAGTGAGGCTATGATGGTGAGACATTCCAGCTGCAAACGTTTCGTCCCGGGCCCGTGGTACGGCGGCGGCTACCCTACATGCGAGGAGGCATGCGACTAGTGTATGGCTTCCAGGACGAGCAGGTCTGCAAAAATGGTAGTTGGATGGTTGCCAAATGCTCTCGATACCAAGATGACGTGTTGAACTCTCGGGCGGTGGTTGAAGCGCATGCGAAATCAACAGCAATTGCCCATTACTTTGCCAGCCGATTCAATGCCAAGTTGCACTCACTGGGCGAGATGGCTAAATTGCTCTTTGTGCCGTGCTTCGTATACCACTCTGAGGGCCCAGCCGTAGATGAGTTCTTTGCCGCAGAGAGGTACTTGCCTGGAGTTTTCCTGAAGTACAACTCCAATAACGGGTATGCTGCTTATGGCTCGCTTCCCCACAACGACTTGGTTCAAGCTTTCCTGCACTTTTCATTTCAAGAATCTGGGGGCCACATCATTGTGGCCGACCTGCAGGGAGTTGCTCGAGAGTCGGAGGTCCTCCTCACAGACCCTCAGGTGTTGTCGCTGAATCGGGCTTATGGCCCGGGTGACTTGGGAGCTGCTGGATATCTGCGTTGCCTCGGTGCGCATCGATGTGGTCCTACATGCAAAAAGCTGGGGCTTTCCCCCATCAGCTCTGCTACCCTCAGGCGAATTCATCGGGAGGGCGAGGCGGCAGGCGGCATGGCGAAGACATTGCTTGCCGCCATGCAGGCGAGCCACGAAAATTTGCCATTTCATAGAGCGCTACTGCCTCGATTCATGCAGAGCATGCCCAGCAACGAAGTTTTGCCTCTGAATGGAACCACAGCTTCGGACTGACAAGCCCCCGGTTGGTTTATTTTGGAATCTCCGCAAAGAGAGTGAGAAAGAGGGGAAAGCCAGAGAGTATTGCCTTTGTTGTCAACGGGCTCATTCCTGTGCAGGCCAATTCAGGCTCCTCAGCTGGCTGGCAGAAGGTGAGCTCATTTGGAAGCGACGATTGGGCCAAGATCAGCGACCTGGCAGCTGCTGAGTATGCGAGCGAAGGCGGGAGGGTTCATAGGTTGCATCCAAGTATGGCAAACAAATTGAATTGACAGATCGTACTATGTTTCAAGCAGCCAAGAGACTTGCTTGCGCAGAGGAAGGCTTGGGAACGGCCTGTAGTTGAGCCATCAAAGGGGGGGGTTGACAAAATGGTGACCCTTTTAGGGACTTTTCAAGGCGGCCCCAGTCTGCCAAAAGTCGCTTGAGGCAATGCATCAAGCCACGTCTCGGCTTCCTCGTGGACGCACCTTTAGCTCGAGCATGATCTTTAATCATCGAGGGGCTTCCCAAATTTCATGTGCAGCCATTGTCAATGGGTCGACCAAGTACAGACTGGTTTCATTGGCAAATTGAAAGAAGTGCTCAAAATATTCATAGATGTGTTCCATCAATACGATCGGCATTGTTCGCTCAGCACCGCACAGACCCCCGCGCACGCCTGTCAAATCGTAAGCACAAATGTTCAAGCGCACCCACTCAGCCTGCAATGGCAAGCACGTCCGCTCAAGTGCACCCGCTCAGCACCGCATAGACGCTTGCCATGTTGGTAAAAGCACACCCGTTCAAGCGCAATCAGCGCTGCGCACAAACCCTGCCAAGTTATCACCTTGTGAAAGTGTTACGATTGCCACATTTTTTGAAAACTACGCACTTGTTACACTGTTGAAATCTTGCAAAACCTTTGTATTGCGGAGCTAATGGACCGTGCGCCGAGAGGGCGCCCACACTCGCGCCGAGATCACGCTCGACAGAGATCGAGATAGATGCGGCTGATATCAATGTGCACCCACCAAAACGTGTAGGAATGTTCATTCTTTCTCACGTTAGAAGCGCGGCGCAATACGGATCAGCGCGGTTGAGTGCGGCGCTGCGAGGCTCGGTATGAGTTAGTGCAGATAAATGCGAAGATAGTGCGGCACATGACGAATCGATATGGCTCCCCAGAAAAGCCGCAACACGGACTCGCGCGGGTCAATACAGAGTTGCGCGGATCAGGGCGGATCAGTGTGTGGCTTAGAAAAAATAAATTCGATTTGATATAACATAACATAATCGTAATTTCGGTAGATTGAGATTTGGTATGAAAAAAAAAAAAAGATATACTTAATTTCATAAAACTTGATATAGTGCGGAATGAAATGAAATAATTTATATTATTATTTTTTATTTTAGGAAATATAATATATATATATGAGTATTTAAATTATTATTATTTTTTTGTATATATTATTTTTTATATAATAAAAATATATATTTAATTGTTTAATAATATTTAAATTATATAATTTATAGTTTATTGTTGAACAAAATATTATATATGAAATTTTGGAAGATATATAAATATGGTATATTGTTTTTGTTGGTGAATTATTACATTTGTTATATTAATTGTTGTTAATATATTTATAGAAAACAAATTATTTTAAGTTATTTTTTTTAAAAAAAAATAATTGTAATAATTTATATATATTATAATAATATAATTATTATATTAATTAATAACTTAAAGTATATAAATAATAATTTACAAAAAATATATATAATATTGTATTAAAATTATTTATTTGTATATTTTAATAGGTTATATAATTGTATTTGTTAAATTAAAATATATAAATACCAAATACAATATTTTTTATACCAAAATTTTAAAACCATATTTAAATCTATTTCTTCATAACCCTAAACCCAATCTACACCAAAAACACACAATTCTACAATTTGTTTAACACACCACTCCCACAAAAAACCCAAACCCAATTATCTTAAACATATAAAATTAGTAATAAAATAATTATAAATTATTATTAAATTTTATAAATTTTTAAAAATTAATTTCATTAATACCCTAATAACATATACCTTTCGTTAAAAAATATTATCTTATTAATTTATAAATAAAAAAAATATATATATAATATAATATATATTTAAATATATTTAATAATCTAATTCATCTAAAACATATATTAATTATTAGTTAAATATTCATCAAGCCTCTCAATATAGGTATTTTCCATGTAAAACATTAAGTATAGTTATATATATATATCCTCTAACCACGATCTATGCTACAATTTTGGCCAACTAAAAAGCATCTCATCCATCTGTATCCTGTATTAAATCGTCCCATCCTCCATTCTGGGCTAAGACGGCACTTGCAGCAAAAAACATTTCCCACGAGGATCAAGGAGATCATGGATGGCTACCTATGCCCACCCTACGCCGCAGTAATCGCCTTACAGAGCTGTTTTTAATGGAGCTCCAATATTATAAATCTTCTGGCGAGTTTCGTATGTTACACGAAATTTTTCATCTAAATTTTGTCCTATCATCATCTTATTATCTACAACTTTGAGAGGCCCTACTCCTACATCTACCCAACTAACAAGGCGGCAACCTTCTGCAGCTACCTAAACTTAAGCAGCTTTCAGCTCCTCCCATCTCAATCCACCTCTTTCTGTTGTCCCAACTGGCACCTTTGAGCTTGAGCTCATCTGCTAAGAAGACCAACTTCTTGCTTGGAGCTTTGGCCCAAAGTCGTGCCGATTAGCAGTAAGGATCGGTTCTCAACTATCTGCAACCAAATGTGCATCTTCAAGCTCAGCAACTGGAGCAGTGCCTAGATGCCAGTTCTTCAACTAGTGCCAAGCGAGTAGTCTGATCTTTGCTCAAGTAAGCTGCACCTAGCCATTGGATCAGCTTCTCTACATAAGAAGCTGCGTACTTTGAGCTCTGCTGGAGCTTGGTCTTTCTCTGCAGGGCACAGTCAGCTTCTTTCAGCCAAGCTTTCCTTTGCATCTCATTTCTGCAAAGCTCTGCCCTGACCATGCATCTCTCTACCCTTGCAACCAGAAGGACCAAGAACTCTTTCAGCAGCTCATTCTTTGAAACGTTGTGGCTATAACTCCTTTCTTTCTGCAACCGCTCGCCAAGTTGAGAGATCTCTCTGCTAAACTCTCTCTTTCTCCCTCCGCCAGCTGCTCTGGCAAACCTCTTCTGCAATCTTCCAGCCTCTGCGTGCTCATCTTGAACTTTCTCCTTGCAACTGCCCAAGCTTCTGCTTCTGAGGCTAAGCCTCTTCCAGAATCATCTGAATCTCTTCATTAAGCTTCATCTTCTGAAAGGCAAAAAGCTCTTGCTTCCTGGAAGGATCTGTCTCCTTCTTCCTTAACTGCCCACCTGCAGTTCCTCTACGCTCTTCCAGAACTAGAGGCCTGCCACCTTGTGTGCCTGCTTCTCTCTGAAACCGCAGTCTTGTTACTTCTTCTGGGTCTTCTTTCTCAAGCTCTGCTAGCTTCTAAAATTAAAGCTAGTTTCTGGAGGTAAGCTGACTTCACTAGTGCAGCTTCTTTCTGCAGCTTGCTCTGCTGCTGCCTCTGGTATGGAACTACCCTGTTAGATAGCACAGGTGCTATCTCCTTGGCTTGCTGCTCTGGTGTTCCAAAAAACTTCTTTTCTTCTCTAAGCTAGCTGGGCTGGGGCTGGGTGCAAGCTGGCTGGAAGCTAAGGACTCTGTCGGGCTTGCTGTCACCTGAAGCTGTGTTGTCGGGCTGGCCACACCTTTGGTTTTCTTGTTGTTTGGTTTTGGAAAACCTTCTAAGCTCTTCCTTGCAAAGCTGTCCTGTGTTGAAGCTTTTGCTGCAGATTGTCTTATCTTGGCTGCTTCCTGCTGGGCTTACATTATAAGTAAGAAACATCGAGAAATCAAAAGAAGGTGTCCAAAATCGGAAAAAAACATCGGGAATTCGAAAGAAACAATCCAAAATCAAAAAAAACATCGAGAAATCGAAAGATTTTGCCCAAAACCGAAAGAACCCTCGAGAAATCGGAAAAAAACCAAAAAACCAATCTGGCCAACAGACTGTTTACATGATACCAGCACATTGTCCTGGAATCTTTGGTTTTTTTGGTTTTTTTCGATTTCTCGAGGTTTCTTTCGGTTTTGGACAAAATCTTTCGATTTCTCGATGTTTTTTTTCGGTTTTGGACAGGAGCCTGACATCTGTAGGAGGGGGGGGTAAGGTGGAGAACTGTTTGCATGACCCCAGCACATTGTCCCAGAACTTTCTTTTTGTTAAAAAAATCTCAAGTTTTTCGGTTTTTGCCAGAATGCAGCAAAATTAGGTGTGTGCAAAAACCCAACGCTCACAGGGTCCCTTTCTGTTAATTTAATCTCCATCATAATTTATGTCCCATCAATTCAAGCTTGAGACCTTTGGGAAAAATACATATTCATCCAATAAAAAAATGCGTAATCGGGCTGTGTTTAACTCTGAGAAAGGGCAAACCAAAGCTGGCATCGCTTGCCAGCAAATCCAAACGGCGATACATCATACATCATGTACAACGGCAAGTGGCCAATCAGTCCAGCCCAAGGGCGGGTTATTGTGATGGCGCCTGCCGAATATCATGTTCTTGGCGGAACTTAGCCCTTGTGCAAAAAGCCGCATCCTTTTCGAACAATTTAATCTCCATCATAATTTATGTCCCATCAATTCAAGCTTGAGACCTTTGGGAAAAATACATATTCATCCAATAAAAAAATGCGTAATCGGGCTGTGTTTAACTCTGAGAAAGGGCAAACCAAAGCTGGCATCGCTTGCCAGCAAATCCAAACGGCGATACATCATACATCATGTACAACGGCAAGTGGCCAATCAGTCCAGCCCAAGGGCGGGTTATTGTGATGGCGCCTGCCGAATATCATGTTCTTGGCGGAACTTAGCCCTTGTGCAAAAAGCCGCATCCTTTTCGAACACACTGACACACCCACACACACACACACACACATTTGTGATTTATACTTTTTGGCATCATCTTTGTAATGGCTCCGTCATAAACTTGAAACCTGCTCAGGAGGAATCCTTGCCATCCTCCTCAGGAAAGCACACGCTGCCCCACAAGGTGGGCACTGAAATGATCCAAAGCTCCTTCTCTTGAAAGGGTCCGTCGAGCTGGCCGGTCAGAATACCGATTCCGTACACCTGGCAAGTTGCTGTGTCAGCTTGCACTGCCAGCGAAAGGCAAAGCTTCGCCAAGTCGCCAGTCCCAAGCCGGCAGAGAATGGCACCGCAGTGCCCCACCAGAAGTCACTGGCTCCCAAAAGGGCCTCGAGGGAGTTTGTTTGTCTTCCCACAGCTTGAACACTGTAAACGCAATTTTAGCAAGGCGTAAGCGCTTTCCAAACTTCTCAGGAAGCAGCGGCGTCGGTGGGATCCATCCTTGGACAAGCATGGAGCCCCAACACCCTCGACAACTCCTCACTCTGAAGACTTGCTTGAGCCTGCTAGGCACCCGAGCTGGTCGATGATCTGGTTCTCGACATCTTTTGGGTTCACGCCGGCTGCGGCAAAGTATGCCTTTGGTCCCATGCGGGTGCGTATTTGTTCGGGGATCTCAGAAAAAATGGCTGGTCTCCTTTTGGTTTCCCTTTAAAATCACCCAACAAGGGGTACCCTTAAAAAAACACGCACACACACACACCCAAGTGCTGAAGGCTCTCTCGAGTGCATACTGTGCCGTGCATTTGCCCTCTCAAGATTGATGTCACGTCGCCTCCGGGTTTACGGCAGCACTGGCTGGCGCGGCAATCGCCAGCGCCTCCACCATGAGAGCAATGCAATTCAATTGATCAGCCGTGCCTGGTCACAACCTCGCTCTCTCTCTCTCTCTCTCCCTCCCTCCCTCCCTCCCTCCCTCCCTCCCTCCCTCCCTCCCTCCCTCCTCCCTCCCTCCCTCCCTCCCTCCCTCCCTCCCTCTACAACTTTTGCGCTCGACAGCTACAACTACAATGTGTTCGCCCATTGGAGTTTCCGAATTCCTTGGGAGAATGCAAACCTGAGCTTTTGGTTGACTGTCCAGTGAATGCGCTCACTTGGGCTGAGCCTGCGCAGCACCGAGCGCCAAAGCCGCGCTGGATGGCAAACTCGGCGGTACCTGCGGTGCAAGTTTTGCATGGCAAATCATTTCGTGCTTGGCAGGCGGACAAATGATGCCGTCCAGCGCGTCAGCGCCAGTGCCACCTGCCAAGAAACTCCAGCACTGATTCATTGGGACGCACTGTCATGCCCACTTTATACCCCATGAGCTTGCTGATTCATTCTGCGGATGTTGCGTTTCTTTCAAGCTGGTCTCAATCAACCCGCCCGCCACAACGATCACCAGCTTGGGCGTCCGGTTTCGCTGCGCCATTGCCTGCTGAGCGCAAGCTAGACCCTAGCTTGTCGGCTTGTCGGCTTAGTCGGGCTGTGAGCCACATGGGAATGAAAACTGTCGGGCTTGGAGGGGTCTCAAACATGGGATCTCGATCAGTTTTATTTCTGGTAATCAAAGCGTGCGCTTGCTGGCTCCAATCTTCACTCAATCCACGCCGAACGATTGGGCATTGATTTCTGCAGCCGTTCCATCTGCCGCGAGCTCTCACACTGCTTGCGCCTGCCGCAGGTTGTGGAACAAAACGGAGAGCGCGACGGCAGGGCAAATCTTCAAGCCGCAAGTAACAACTCACGCCGGCACTGGCCTCTCCTTTTGAAGTGGCGACATGCTCGGACCTTTGCACATCATCTCAGCTATCAGCCCCTCATGTTGTGTCAGTCCGCAAAGGCTGGGTTGCGCACATTGCCATCATCTCCATCTCTGATCTGGTGCCCTGCAATGCACGGGTGAGGCAGGATTTTACCCTGTCTGGCTGGCGCACTGTGTTGACATAGTTTTTTTTTTTTTTGCAATTTTGGGCAAGCGCCGGGCCATTGAGGCGACAAAGCGCTTTTGCATGCTTTTGCTGAATGCCCGAAACATTCACGCAATCCACACTTGCCTCCCTGAGGGAGGCACTTACCTGGTGAGACGGGCCCGCACCACAGAAGCGAGTGACGACTCAACATGTGGCCCACTTGAGCCAAACACCTGCGCAAGACCGAAACCGTGGGGCCGATTCCCTAGTGATACCTACTGGAAGATTTCATTTATTTTGTACAAGGGCTCCGTCTTAGAGCCCGTGCTGCGCGTCGCGTCAGCATCTCAGCGGGGCGCCACCATGATTTTGCCCGCCTTCCCCATGCCGCCTCGGCGCCAGGGGCTGCTCCTCCGATTGCCCACTCGGTCCATCTGCCGCTGGTCCCGCAAACCGTAGGCCCGCAGCAGCGGGTTCAACGGGCTGCGGGCCTCGCGGGCCTCCCTGGCCGAGTTCAGACCCGGGCCCGGGCCTGGGTCGCGGCGCAAAGCCACCTGCCAAACACAGCCGAACCCAGCTCCACTCTTGGGCTTTCAATGCGGCGGTTTGCACGGGATGGCAAATCAATTATGGTTTCCTATGGTTTTTCCTATGGATGTCCTGCGTTTTCGTGCTTTTCACGGCCCACGGCCCCCCCTTCACCTCGCTGGCATACGCCCGTGGCGGAGACCGCTCATGCCGTCGCATTGGGACTGGAGGAGCAGGGGCGACGCCGTGGGCGGCCAGCCCAGTGAACTGCCGGCCGCGCTTCTGCGTGGGGGGTGGGATTGCTATGGGAGGAGCCGGAGGCTGCGGCAGCAGCAGTCCTCAGCTCATGAAAGCCCTGACCTTCCGTCAAACTCCTCGAAGTGACAAACACTTAGCCGATGGAGAGCGGCTTGGAGACCTGCTTCTTCCAAACATGACACATGCAAAACACTTCAGACTGCAGGTGCTTGCACACAATATTCTACAGGTTCAGCTTGACGCTGCTCCGCGTCCAAGCGCGCGTTTCAAATAATGCAGTGCGCGGATCGCAGGAAACACAACAAGTTGGATGTTTCGTTTTGGATTTGGATCCCGGCCCCTTCAAAGTTGTCCTATATTCCTTTGCCCGGCCGGGATTGGGTCCTTGGGCCGCCCTTGCGCGGACATAACGCAGAAGCTAGTTTTCGTTGACCTCCGCCGCATTTTTTTCGTGTCCTTTGTGCGAGCCCTTCAAGAAGCAAAGGCATGAGGTATTCTGGGCTCAGGGTGTTCAGGCCATGTCGAATGAAAGTGTATCCCTGTAATACTTTAATCTTGCGCCTCCCTTGGGCCGCACTAGTGCGCTCCTTGCGCGTGCACAGCTGTTGACAACGTTCACTTCTCCCCGTTCGGCGGAGAATAAAACACCAAAGGCGGGGGTTTTAGGGCGACCCTGGACCAACCACTGCCCTCCCAACAAGAAATCAGGCGCCTTCTAGCCAAGGCACTGGCGACTTCGCCGCCCTCCTCTTGCAGCACCGCCAAGCCCTTGATCTGTGATGCCAAAGGCACCTCTAGGGCCCTCCAGTCGATGACCTCCATGGGTTTGGGAAAAAAACAAGAAACCAACCCGAAATCAATAGAATCAAGAAGAATGAGACGGGGGATCATTGAAGGATCCCGTCAAGGCCTAGCTGAGGCCCTGACATTTGCAGAAATGCAGTCCTGGAGCTCAGCACTGTCCTCCAACGGACAGGGCACCAAACCGCTATCAGAATCTGAACTCGCACGATTCATGCATTGTCAAGCCTGCCTTGGACTTGTCATCCGACGATCTCCGCTCGCGCTGCCGTAAAGGTCGCGTGTCCCAATTGTCGAAGTCTTCTGCCTCCTCAGAACCGGCCCTTCTCAAGGCCAGTCTCACTACTTCCCCTAAAAACGAGTGACCCAAGCACAAACGCATGCACACTAAAGCTCAGCATGCGAGTCAAGGGAGAGCTCTAAACAACAACCACCTCCACCACAACTCCCCCAGGCACAGGCAAACTAACTCTCCACCGCCACCACCACCACCGCCTGCCCCCCCCGCACACCCACCATGCCCAAAGAGAAATACATCAAAAATGCAGTGGATAAATGCAAAGACCATCATCCATGCAAAGGAGCAGGGGGCATGAGGGGTAGCCCAGCAACAACGGGGTGACCCCTCCTGGGGCACAAAGCACGGAAAGGCAAGCGGGTCTCAGCACATGTTCACCCTCGCGCAGCACAGTCTTAACCTGAGGATATCCTAGCCATCACGCATGTATCAACGGCCAACCGACAATGTATCAAAGTATTTCCTGCCAGAAAGCCAGGGCGATGCTTCAAATCGCAAAAAAAAACTCCCAACTCCGTATAAAACTCCCTTGCAACACATGAAGGGGCTCGCACAAAAACCTCTGGAAAAACGGGTGTCAAGACCCGGCGTGTTTCGCCTCGCTGCGAAGCCATGCGAAGCCAGCCCCGGCCTTGGCGGGAGCCCAGGCCTGCATGACTCGCAAGGGCCCGTGCTCGGTGGTGTCGCTGGTGTCCAGAAGGGCCCGATCCCCAAGCCTCAAACAAGCCGATTCACCTGGACCATCCACCAAGACCTGGAGAAAAGCGGGTCGGAACCAGACGGCTTGCTCTTCTTTTTCGGCCTCCTCCTTTGTTTGTCTCCGGAGAAAAAAACAAACCGGTTCTGGCAGGCAGCTGTTCTTCAAATGGTGGGCCCGGCAAAAATACGTCAGAGCAATGTAAAACACACTATTTTTCCGTAGGAACACCGTAAAAACCTGCACGCGCAATTACAATCTTGCAAAACCAGGTTCTTCCGTACAAAACCGTGATTTTTCGGGACTCCTACTTCTTCTTTTTTCCTTGTGTTTAGCTGACTTTGTAGGATATTTTCGGGCAAGGGGAGGGGACCATTGTCATCGGAAGTAAAGTTTCTGTCCAGACTAGAGGCTGGTCATGATGCTCCTCAGGTAGCTGAGCATGCAATGCTCTGAGGTGTCTGTTGCGAAGACGCAGCTGCTCTCGTAGCATTGCAATCCTGAGCGCTTTCTCTGATGAACTTACGGTATGTCATGGCTACAGCCACAACATCTGTTTCAGACTCGACATGGGAAAAATGGTCATCCCCCCCCATGGGCAATATTTTGACAGCATCCCATGTTCAATCCTTGCAATTACCCAGGCTCTCATCGTCGCGATCCACCAGCTGCCGGCGATGTATCTCCCAAAAGTGGTCCAGCTCCAATCTCTCGTACTCCAGGACCTGTCCAAAGCACCAACACCTACCAACAGCGGAAGGTCGCATGGGCAAATGAGCCGCTCTGCTGTTTCACAACACTCTCGCTCTGTTTCACACCAACACTCCCACCTTCACTCGCTGGATGAGCTCCAGAAAGGCCCGCAAGTCCTAGGAGTTAACAAGCTGAAGTCTGTAGCACAATCGTTGCCGGAGCTGTCACTTCATATCAGCTCACCGCTGCCCTCATATTTAATATGGATTTGTCCTATATCATGGCTGCAATCTGTTTGAAGTGGCCTCTGGGGCTGGTCAAGCCAACCGGCAGGGCACCTCGTTCAGCACTCGCCGGGGCAACTGCTCCTGCAACTCCTTGCCTGACAAGTGCAACGTGGCAAAAGCATGTGCACAGTGCGCTGACTGTCTGCTGCATCAACCGGAAGTTCACCGAACTGAATCTGGAGTACTCACAAATCTGTTCCTCCAAAGCCGCTTTGGAAGCAACTGCCAACAGCCACACACCCATGTAGGATGAAGGGCTTGCTAAATGTCGATTTTACAGCCCGCTGAAGAATTCGTGTGACGATTGAGGTAACAAAGGAAGCCTGGAAGCCTGGTACACCTGTAGTGCTTGATCACTTTGCTTCAACGTTGACCTGGTTGCTCTCAAATTCGGCACACTTTCGTACACGCCCCATTCCGGCACTGCTTGCACTTGATTTTTCAAAACAGAATGATTGAACGGCAATCTGAACCACGAACTGCAATGCATCAATCTGAACCTGGGAATGGACCGGGCGGCTTGCCTGCTTCCTTATTCTGCTGCAGCCTTTGTGCCAGTGATCTGCGGGTCGCTGCATTTTCTGCCATGTTCTCCTCAATCTGGGAGACCTTGACTGTGGCAGCACTGTGCTAACTCTGGTGCACCGTGGACTGTTCCGACACCCTGCAAAGGGACCCACATGCCCCAAGCGGGCTTGTCGCGCCGGCTGGGTTCAGCCCCTATGACCAGCTGACAATCTCTGAGTCTCCATGAGCTTCGGGCGGTTTCGCCATCCAGTCCACGTATCAAATTGGAACAGGGAATGGAATTTCGATTGCAAACGGACTAAGACAGCGGAAGAACACTCTCAAATCACGAATGGCGGACTCAACGGACATTTCCCTCACAATAATCATCAATAATTTTCCCAGGGCCAACTACTGAAAATCAATAGCTGCCAAAGGGGCCAGGTCTTGCCACTCATCCAGGGTTCGCGGTTCAGCGGACCGCCTCGGGCGGCTGGGTGTGGCCACCTCGGACCAGGTTGCCTATGTGCAGGATTTTCGCAGCATCTTGGAGCAAACATGTGACAAAGCAAGCGGGCGGTGACGCAGCACAACACTTTTTATCTACATACTTTGGATATGAGTCATTGATTGCATTTCTTTTGCAAAGGCATCTTTTGACCAGCCCTCGCTTCAGCAGCACATCTTAATTGTTGCCTGTGGCAGCCCTGACATCAAAGCGCACATAGGTCAGCACTGTGCTGAGCCTGCTCTCGCGAGCCATATCCCACGAATAGCAACCGTGCACTGCCAAGGCACCGGTCTTCGTTCCTGAGTCGCTTTGCATTTCAAATCCCACCGGGCACTCTTCACCAAAAATGATTGACTGACCTGCATAATTTGGTGCTATGCACGCTTATCACCTGAAGTTTCAGGCAAACGATTTGGAATCACATCCTGGAATTGCATCCCCAAACCAAGCCTCACTTGGCTTCCACTGGGAGGGATTCCCTAACCAAGGCACCTTCCAGCAGGTGATCACTTCCTTCGCCTCCTGCAGTTCTGCCTTCCATTGAGACAGCGCCTTCTCCACTTCCATCAGCGAGCGCTGGAGGGAGGAGCGACTTTCCTATTGCGATGCCAAACGTGAGTTTAGCATCGGGCAGGGGACCCTCCAAACTAACTGCGGCCTTGCCAAATTTTGGAGCAATGTCGTCACGGTTTCAGAGGGCATCCATGTGGGGATTGCGCGTGGTAGCTCCAACTTGAGCCATGGGAATGTTTAAACAACTTCCCTGGGACCCTTCTCATCTGCTTACAAGCAAAAAGGCAACATGCACTCTCGTCCACCTGATTGCCAGGCAAGGCTCCAAATTTCTGATGATCTCCACTTTCCAATTCTCACTTGCTTCCTTCAAGCAAGCCTCATCGCCCGCTTCCGCCTGCGAAACTCCAGGGCCAGAAGCGGCAAAAGCCCTACTTTGCCACATTTCTCACTGAACCCACTGGGTGGTTGCAAGCGCTCCCCTATTCAAAGTCATCCCTTTCGCCAAATGGCTGGGGGTCAAAAATCGGTCCCCCAAATGGAACCCTGGTAAGTGGACACATGGACCAAAACCTGCGGTCCCATTGTTTAATTTGACCCATACCCATTTCAGTGCCATGTGCCGCTTGCCGCTTGCCGCTTGCGCTCCACTCCTCCGACTCCGGCATGGGATTTGTGGCGGCGCGCCGCACCAGCTTGGCCTTCAGCAGCGCCGCCTGCGGCTGAGGGCCCCTGACAAAATTTGCGGCAAGTGGGGAAGCCGCAGTCCGACAGGGGGAAAAACTGGTGGCGTCTGGAACCCACAGGGAAATTGAACCTGGTTTGGTCTTTTGGTGAAGCTTAAGGATGTTTCTTGCACACTGGTCCGAAAGGTTGGTTGAAGGCCCAGCCAACAGGGAACCCAAGCACATCCGAGGCAGCCAATGATCATGCAAGAGAACCCTGCCACAGCCTCCTGACGCAAGTCGGAGATGGCATGCTCGTACTGCCCTCAAGCATCCATTGCTGTGCATGGCTACGTGAATCTAGGTAAAAAAAACAGCCAACTCTTGCAACGCCTCCATTGAGGCCCGTGAAAACCGCCAATGGAATCCCGTGATGAAGTACATCATGTTAAGACTACCCAAGCGATCCGTGTATTGCCTGCAACGTCACTCTTAAATTAAGAGTGGCATGCGAAACTGGTGTGCAAACTAACAACCAACAGTCACAAGACAGCTGAACTAATGACATAGCAAAGCTTCTGACATGGTCGTCTGGCTGAACCAGCTGCTGCAAAGCACTCACCCTTATGTTCTTCGCCCGGTTGGCATACTTCAACGTATTCAGGGTGTCCTCGTAGCTCAGGTGGTTCGGCGAAATGTTGGCTATCATGACCTCAGCTTGCGTCAGGCCAAGTCCAGCCCTCGAAAATTCCGCCAGTCATTTTGCACTTCACTTGGTCAAGCCACTGTCCGGCAACTTCCTCCCAAGGAGTCCTTCAGAAGTCTGGTGAGCTTGGAATCGCGGAAGGGCACGAAGGAAGAACCAGAGGCCAAGGCGTTGATGCAGTTCCCCAGGGCCAGAAGAGAGCGATTGATGTTGGCGCCCTCCAGGAAACGTAGGCCGCTGTTGTTGGTCTGTGAGGCTCTCTCAGAGCCTGCCAGGTCAATCATCGACAGCTTTCCGATCATCACTCCCTCGCTTCGTGGATCTCGCCGCTCCAGCCGGACTTGAAATACAGCGTGAGATCTGGAAGACGTCACGTTCATGGCCTCGGAGGAGAGTGCATGATGCTGCCCTGAATATTGCCCAGCGGCGTCTGGGCTCCCGGGGGAAAAGTTGCAAGTACAACCCTGCTCTTCAGCACACAATTTGGAGCTTCCACGGACTCAAACGCCTAAACAATGAGCATAAGACTCAAGGCCAACCGAATTCAGAAACCAATGAGAACTGACAAGCTGCACCGCAAACCATGAAGCAAAAAAAACATGTTTGCGTCTGAAGGAACCAGAGTGAACACGAGCGAACTGGACTTTACTAAATGAATGCTCTTCTGAGCCCCCAGGCGGTGGGCTCAGTTGTGCGGCGCTTGTTTCCCTCCTGCAACAGTTCCATGACCTGCTCCACAGATTTGGCCTAGGCGGAAGTGTGGAGGAAACCGGGTGACCTATGTATTATGCAAGAGTTCCCCTTCAAACAAAGGAAGCTATCACCACAGTGGGGAATCGAGGGATTCTGTGATAAATGGCAGGCTGCCTCCTGCACTATCGATAAAACGTGAATCCCCAAGCACACGCGCTGCTCATTCTGGGACAGTCTCAAATGTTTGGAATTGAGCTTGCCTCCATTCCTTCGCCAAAAGAAGTGATCAGAAAGCCGCATTCCAGGAGCTCTTTTTCGACACAGGACACTCGATGCCACATGTTCCAAGCGTGTTCGTTTCAGCGCCTGAATCTCAGTCACCCCGGTCAGCGACGGTCCTGTGAGGTGGCGGAGCAAAATTACAAGTGGGCCTTTCTTGCTGTGACCAACAACGTCCCTGCCCGCTCGGCTATGGGCTCATTTCGGCCAACTTCGTTGCTTCCTGATTTTCCCACATTTGCCACTTGAGAGGACAGCTCGTGCTATGCAAGGCCCACCGCGGTCGCTATCATTTGCCCCGCTATTCCCTTCCCCAAGTTCACCTCTTGCCACATCGGCCACAACCAACAGCATGACGTGACCAGATCGCATGGTATTTGCACGCCCCTCTCAGACAGTGCCAAGAACAGCCGCCCTTCCTAGACGAGCAACCAGTTTGCAATCAAGACTCTTGGTCTGCAACAAGCTGCCCTTACCTTGCTCTGCCTGCCTGCCTGCGTGCTTGCAGCTCTTCTTGGTCAATCGCTACGAGTGACTCATACAGCATGCCGACGTTCACATGACAACAATTTCATTCGTCCACCATATTCTTAGTGGCTGACCCTGCTTTCTCCCGTCAATCTCAAGCAAAAGATTGCGTTTGGCAAGTACAGGGCGCGCTCCTGTTACAGGGTCTTCCCGCAAATCCAGCATGCCCTCTCGACCGTCTCGGGATCCCAAATCACGCAGCACTTCGTTGTAGACCTCCACAAAGCAACCTGAGCAGAAGAACTCTTGCTGGAGAAATCAGATGAACGAATTGCCTTGATTGAAAGGATCCCTGATTGGAAGAGTCGCAGGTCGCAAGACAGGCAACATTCTGGGTCCAACGTCTTGCTCGCTTTTTTTGCAAGCAAGCAGCATGTCACGGAGAGGCTCCCGTCTGAAGCTGCGTGCTGGAAAATCCCGTCCACTGTACGGGACATGATCCCAGGCTCCGTATCAGTTCCAATCCTGAGTCACCGCAATTGCCAGCAAACAATGCAAGGACTTGCCCATCACAAAGGTGACGACAGTGGTATCTCGCCATGGAATCGGCAACATCCGATTCCAAAGCGGTTGAATATGGAGGATTCCGGCCAGTGTCATTGTGAATGTCTTGCCAGCGCCCGTAGATCCGTACGCAAACACGCTGCAGTTGAAGCCTCGGGAAGGCCAGGTCAAACGTTGCGTTCCGCGCTCAGCACCGAGGCTTGCGCCTTGAAGCACGCTGCCTGTGCCGGAGATCTCATGGACGCTTCCCAGCGCCAAAGCGCACTAGAACCCTTGAACTTCGATGGAACTTGGATGAACTTGGCTTTTGCGGCCACGAGGGGGCGCGCGCCGGGCAAGGTCTCATTGAACAGAGGGAAGCAACATTGACGAGCCCCACCTACGGATAACATGCCATGCACGAGGCAAGGTGATGCGGCACGACTCGCGAGAAAGAATATGAACACCCGCGTGCTTCACTGAGCCTCCCTGCCCAAACAATGCTCTCTTATGTGTACTGATTGCTTCCCGCGCCTATCAAAGGCTGCGCAGTGGCCTCAAATACCCGCTGGCTGTCCGTCTGCGCGTCAAAGGCTTGGTCAAATGCGAAGCGCTTCTCCTGCGCCGCTGCCGCTGCCTCAAAGCCTCCTGCGACAACCCCGCTCCTTGGACTTTTCCTGCCGCAGGTAGTCATTTGATGCCTCGGGATTGTCATCCGACTCTGTCCAAGTCAGCTAGGCCAGAAGGATCCTGGCAGCAAACTTGGGACAACGTAAGGCAAGTTGCTGCACCAGGATCCAGCAAAATGACCAAGTGCTCGTCCAAGATCTCAGCACTGGAAGCCAGCACTGGCCTGACCCCTGATAAAGAGACGGCAAACAACGAGAGCGGCTCTAGGCCCGGAGCACGGCATATGTCAACGACATCGCTGTTCTTCTCTGTAGCGAAAAGCCTTCGCTTGGGGCATGAACACATCTGAGTCTATTGGCCCACTGACGTGGCACTAACAGAAACTTGTGAATTCAATTTGGCCCAGGCACGGTCTGCAGCGCACAGCCACTCCTTGCGTGATTTCGCCAGAAAGCTAAAACGATAAAGAGTGAAACTTGGAAAATGCAAACTTTAGCCAAAGTTCCAAACACTGGGGATTGCTTTGTTTCAAAGAAACAGGCAACTGTACAAGCATACAAGCAGGTCTGGCCCGACCGGGGATCCGTTGAGCGACTGACAAGGTTGGCACACTTGCACAGCTTGCATGGAAATTTAGATCCTCTGTGAGGGCTTTCCTGGTTTCTGCACGCTCGACGCATGTGCAAAGAACAACAACTCATCTTCCCACAAGTGCCTACCCGGCCCAGGCTCTGATTCTGCTGGAGTCTTCCCCATCACCAAGTGTGCTGCTAGACATGGAGAACCTCACTGCAGCACAGCCCTTCACCCATCCGTCTGCCCGACTGTTACCCACCGCGAATGACTGAAACCCATCATCCGTAACCATAATCCGCTCACTTGCAGATTGCGCCGATCCCGGCTTCGTCGGAAGGCCCAGAAGGCCAGTGGCAAGAGGCAAGTCTCAACCGATCCAAGGAGCACCTCTCAACCTCGACCTCATACCCTCGCCAGGCGCAGCCATGCTTCTCGCAGCGAATGAGGGCATCCACTCAACAAGCCGTCTGAAATGTGTGAGGCTGCATATGGCATGCAAAGTCGTCTCTCATCCTCTTGTCTACTCTTGAATCTGCAGCATGTTGTTCGTCTGCGGTGCCTTTGGCCATGCTTTGCTCAACTGGCTCAATAGCCTGTTGCATCCTCTTGCCTGGATTCTACGGATTCTACTCCCCCGTGCCTGTGGCCAAAAACGGCAAAAACATGTGAGGTGCTCCTTTCCAACTCAAGCAAGTCCCCCGCCGGCGGGGCTGGCTGGCTGGCACAGGAACTCCCACTCAAACGAATCCACAGGGCCTGTGCTCGCAGCATCCGCTGGACCTCGCAGTGATCACGCCATGCACATGCAACTCTTCAGCCCTGAGGCCAGCGCGAGCGCAAGCTTCATGCCATTGCCAACTGTGGAGAGCACTCCCGCCAACCTCAAAACTCGCTGAGCGAGTTTTAAGCTCTGGGATTGACAGCAGATTTGCGGGCCTTTTCCGTGGTTTGTTTGGCGTAGAAAGGAGGGACACGACAAACAATGAATAACATCACAGGATAAAGGCGGCCTGTTACTGTACCCCATTTACTACCCATATGCGATTGGATGCAACATGCATCTGCCACGTGCGCTGGTTTTCTCTGCACGTCAATCGTCGCTGGGCCCAGGCTCCTGTGATCTCAGCGTCCATTGCCATTGCATCTGCCATGCATACAAGCAAACGGTCCTCTGCGATCAATTCCTGCGCAACAGCAACTGTACAGCAGCTAATGGCACATGACATGCGCTCACAGCTCTCAAACGTTCTATTCATGACTACACGCGGCCAAGCGTCATAATTCACCGGGCAGTCAATCCCGATGCATTGCACCTGCAAAATGCGTCGTTGATATCTGCTGACCCCTAGCTGCAAGTCGAAGGTGTGCAAGCATGCTTGCGCCGAACCTTACCGCCCTACCAAAGATAAAAACCTCTGGAAGGTTTGCAATTCTCAAGGATTGTTACGTTGCGTCAGCTAGGCCAGGGATCAGGCTTGCCACAAATTCTTCCAGGCTTAAAGCTTGCTACGCAAGCCCAACCTTCGTCTTGCCCGAGTTCATGGAGAAGTAGTAGGGGTGAGTGTCCTTCCTAAAAGCGCGGCTAGCCATGGCAAAGCCCCTGCCACTACGCCCCAATCCTCTCAGCTCCTATCCAATCCTGAGCGCGCCGCGTGATGGAAGGAGCGGTCCAGCCTTGAGCCTGCAGCTTCCTCAGCTCCCGCTGAGACCCCGAGGATTGCGGACCACTTGGTACAAGTGGCTCAGCGATATAGTTCAAGCGCTTGGCCTTGGCTCACTTGGCAGTCGGATAGGATTCAACGCATCTCAGGTTGATCTTGTCTACATCGTTTGGTTTCCTGTTGACCCATCCGAAAGAATTCTGCGCATTTCTTGGGGGCAATCGCCGAGATGCATTCGAGCCGAAGTCTGCCTTGAGGCCGATCCGGCCAGAGGAGCGCGCTTGAACGCTGCCATCCTAGCGCACGGCTCACAATTTTTTCGGTGAGTGAGGCTCAGGTGTGGAAATCCCCTATGTCTGGCCACCCGCAGCTTAAGTCCGGAGAATGCATGCCAATGTGCCCTTCAAATGAAGCATCATTATCCCTTTCCCGTACCAGGCCCAGCTGGAGCGGCAAGGCTTAAACATAGGAATCATATTTAAACGCAACTTGGCCACACGCAGTTGCTGTTAGATCGCGTCTCTTGCCGTGAAAAACATGCCATGCAGTGTCCTTGCCAACGGCAAACTCCAAATCATCAATCTTCCCTTTCCTCAGCGAGCAGTTGCAAGACATAGCAAGGACTTCTCAGCATCCAGCAAATGCCAGCAATCAATTGAGCATGCTTACCCAGTGCAAAAAAGGATCTTGAGACTCTCGAACTGCGCATAAACATATCCGTCGGGTCCAGCTTTCAGAATTTGAAAGCCGCCGCCGTCCACATTCTGCTGGCCTGGCCAGAATAAAGGCGCGAAGGTTGATCGAGTTCCCCTGGCCTTACCTGTGTCAACCATAGCCAGTCAACAAAAACTGCTGCCTTTTCATCACGAAGGGCATGCAAGGGCAACGCTGCAGGGTTTATGCCGCTCATGTTATACCAGGTCGCAAACTATCCAACCACTCCTTAGGACATCCAGAGTACAAGCCTGGCCTGGCGGATAATTCCGCAAAACCGCTTCCAGCTGTGCAGAGGCATCAGCCACGCTGCTTCCGGCTGGGATCTTCCATGGCTGTAGGAGGGTGGTAATCTGCGGGTCCTGCCGACGTGCGCTGATACGAAGGCGCCAACTATGCCATGCTTTAATCAAAGGGAACCCGGAGTGCCACAGGGCCAGCAATTTGTCAGCACTGATCTGGACAAAACCAAACAAAAAATCCGAACCGCTTAGTGCTGTGGCCTTTGCCGTCACTCCTCTGGGTCCCCAGTCGTGGAAAAACAGTTGGGACCATATCCGCAGCCCTTCAGCACGGCGCCGTCGGACTTGTCTCCGAAGCGATTCCTTGCTTCGCTGCACCGATTCTCACAGGTCGCTTTCGTGCGTGGCTGCAAATTGGCACGAACAAGTACTGGCCAGCACGATGCAAGCCAAAAAACAGGACACGGAATGATGTCAGGGGTCAAAGTGCGCTCCTTGAGTCCAAGGTCATCCGGCTGCTTTCCCGGCGTCCTCCTCTCGGAGAATTTTGTCACTTCGGGCAGCCTGAGTGATGGGTCTGGCAACTCACAGCCAGGATGCGCCACAACAACATGTTTGAACAGCTGGGAACTTCTTGATCAGGGGTCAGTTTCCAAAACGGAGTGAAATGGAACCATTAGATAGGGTTCAAGGAGGTGTGCACCCTCCCACAAAATGGGTGTTTCCCCAAAAGACCTGGACCTGCACCAACTCAAGCCACCTATGAGGAGACCTCATAGGAATGCTGCTCAAGGGCTGTCAAGCTGCCAGCCAAGTGGCGCGTTTTCGAAAGACAGGGTCGGCGCCAGGGACAAAAGCCATGCGCTTGACGCGCCCAGCTGCAGAATGTGACGGCGAGGGCCACTGAAACCTAATGCAAGGAGATCGCAGCGGAAAGAAAAATGACTGCAGGCCTTCGGCAGGTAGGTATCTGGAGCCCACGGCTGCCAGCACCAGGAGCAGCCTGCAGAGCTTCATCGTAGGTCCTGTTGCTTTCTTGGCGCTGAACAGTGCGCTGCCTTGGCACTCGAAGCCGGAACCGCCTCTTCACACATGGCGCCATGGATAACAAAGGCAGCTTGGCTTGTCGCATGGGTTCTGAACCTGCTTGGAATGCTTGGTCAGCTGGAGAAGGCTGCTGGGCTGGTGATTCAATGCTTGTGCAGTTGCAAACTCTCTCCAGCCTGGTCGGCCCCTAATTATTTGAGCCAAAACAAGATCATGCGGCAAAGATCCCCTGTGCAGAGATGCGCATGAGGCGTTCTCCTTCACAGGAACTCAGCTCAACAGGAACTCAGCGCAACATGAACGAACCTGGGGCGTCCTAAAGGGAGCCCTGACTGAGGTGCCAGCACAAAAGGCCGCGTGGCATCCCAGCCGCGCGCATGCGGCCGGAAGAGCAAGGGACCCGCAAAGGTGGCCATTGAGAAGGACACGCCGCAGTCGTGGACCAGGTGGGCCACGGACTGCACCTGCCGAGGCAAGCAGCGGAAACCTAGCTGTCATAAGCTCCTCCTACTTCTTCATAAGGGGGAATTAGGGGTTGGGGCCTCACAGGAGCACGTGGTTTCGGTCTCACCGGCACACGTGGACACTCCAGCCGTTTCTGGTCTCACAGGAGCATGTGGTCGATCAAAGTACTGCGCCTGCCACGAAATCCAGCCCCAAACCTGCGCTCCCGCAGGCTGCTTCACAAGCGTGTGCGTGCTAATTTAGCGCGCGGGCGCAGCTTTTCAAGCGTCGGAGCACGCAGCGGCTCGGGTCTCACAGGAGCACGTGAGCGCTCCAAACCATTCAAAATAGCGTGCCTGCTACGAAATCCAGCTCCAAAACCCACGCGGGACCTGGCTTCAACTGCACTCATGCAGGTCGCTTCACAAGCATGCGCGTGCTAGTTTTGCGCGCGGGGTGCGCCCGCCCAGCACTGCATCCACGCACGCAAAAGAGGAAGCACACCTGCTCAAGCGCGCCCGCTCAGCACTGCATTTACGCATGCGAAATATGCGAAATAGCAAGCGCACCAAAGCGCTGGGGTATCAGTATAATAAATGTATATATATATATATATACAGATATAGATTTATATATATATATAATATACATGCAATACAGCCAGCGACTTCCAGCAAGGGGCACCCATCCCTAGAAACCAGGGGGGCTGTGTTGTTAGGATTTGGACCAAGCCAACATCAAATCAACGCGAGTCTTCGGACAGTGGCGCAAAAAACGAAACGAGATGGCCACCATCTAATATCACACCTGATGCGCTGGACAAAATGCAAGGTGGCGCCCCGTGCATCCCTGGATGGGATCAAGCATGGATGAAAGGCTTGCACGCGCGTACGCTACTAGTGCGTTTTTGCTTACATGCGCGTGCGAGGCTCACGTGCTTTGCCTTTTTGGGGGACATGCGCGGTATCACATGCGCCGGCGAGACCCACGAAACCCTTGCCCAAAGTACCGCACCTACCACGAAATCCAGCCCTCTACATGCGCGGGCGAGACCAAATTTACGTGCGCCTGCGAGCCGAAAACCACGTGCGCTCGCGAGGCCGTGACCGAATTAGGTGTCGAACGGGTCCTCATCCACATGGGCTCCCTCCATTCCCGGACACGAAAACCGTCAAACTTGCAATTTGCGAGTAACATGTGTTTTGCAGTACAAGGCGCAAGTTAAACTTGGAATTGCAGATCATGAAATAGTTTTTAATTGATAAAAGGTAAACATATTAGATGAATTTACAAGATGCCAGAATACACCCTAATACAACTGGTGACGGGGTTGGCGTGAAATCGGCAGAATGAGTATTGGTTTAGGATTGGAGTATTGTGCGTTAAAATGTAGTATTGGGGAAAAACACAATTATCGCATTTTGTATTGGGAGGAAGCGATTATTGGGAATCGGCGGCTGTACACCTCTACCTCTATGTGCGCCTCTAAGCCTCATTTGTGTGCCTTTGTCCGAAAAACTGGCGCTTGGAGGCTTCGATGATTGGGCGTCCCTCTTTAAGTGAATGCTTACCCTCCTGCCTACTGCAATGATCGCGCCAGCGCAGCATCCCTGCCTCCTTTCACTTTCTGAATCAAACACGCCTCGCCTTGGCCTGTTGCGAGGCTGGGAACATGCTGCTGATATAGGCGGCGGCGACCGGCCGGGCAAAAGCCATGAGGCTGGAGAAAAGGTGAGGGATCACGAGCGCCAAAGGCGAGAACGGTGCTAAGATCTGAGCGAGGTGGATGGCAATGCCAACCACGGAAGTGAAAGAGATCACGTGTTCCGGCCTCTTGCGCCCTGCCAAGGGCCCTATGAGGCTGAGGCTGCTCATGGCAATGATCTCAAAGGGCCAGGTGCGAGCCTGCCAATCCCCTGCTTTCCAGCCATAGGCGGCCAACGTGAAAGAAGCGTAGATGCTGCTGAGGCCCGCGGCCAATGACTTGAACAAAACAGCCAGCAGCCAAACCTGCAAGAACCGGCTTGACAGCAGGAACCGCATCTGCACAGCAGTGCTGGATATCAGCCTTGACGCAGTCAGCTGAGCCTTTGTGACAGTAGGCAAGGACTCGGGGATGCAACAAAGAACAAGCACGATGATGGATGCCATGTTGGCTGCCATAGCCAGCCACACGGCGGCATAGTTCTGCAACTCCCACTTCAGAATACGCCCAGCCATCCACATGGCGAAGGCATGGCCAAGGGCCCCCACGCCATAGAGCGCAGAGAAGCAGGTCACCCTCTCGGTGGTGGTCCGGGTCAAATCCGCCAGGATTGACAAAAAGACCACGTCGAAGGCGCTGGTGGAGCCTTCGATCACGAAGGACAACGCCATGACACTCTGAGAGCCGCGGATGGCTTGGAGCCCTGCCACCGCTGCGAAGAGGCTGAAGGCCAAGGTGAAACCACTCAGCCCCAGCAGCAGCATAGGCCGCCGCCCGATGCTGTCCGCCAGCAGCGCCAGCACAGGACCCGCGAAGGCATGCACCAGGAGCCTGGGCCAAATTGGTCAGCGAGGCCACACGACTCGGCGATGGAAGACAAACACAAACAAACAAACAAACAAACAAACAAACAAACAAACAAAAACGAAAACTCGCCAGCGAGCAAGCAACACACAACACCAAAAAGCACAAGCACACCACAAACACAGAATCACGCGCGCAATGCTGCCCTAGCCCCAGCCCGCCACACCCCGCCAGACCCCCCCCCATCCCCAAATCCATCTCCGAATCCATCCGAATCGATCCAGCCGGGCAGCTTCATGGCCACCAGGCGGCCCTCTCGCGCCTGCGCCATGGACAGCACCAGGTTGGCGTCCCCGCACATGGCGGAGCCCGTGAAGACGCCGCTCTGCGGCACGGACGGGCACTCCACCAGTGACCGCAGGAAGGGCCCGTGCAGCTGGACCGCCAACATGAACCTCAGCCGGGGCCGTGGAGAGGATACTTGTCTCAAGCATGGAACCTACGGAAACAAGTCAGTCTGCACCTTCTGACTAACTCTGCCATCTGCTCCTTCAACGTGAGACACTTTAATCTTTAAGCTTCGAGGCGACCAACTACCCTGTCTTTCTGCAAAGATTCCGCGGCTGCAGCAAATTCAATATACCATGTTGGACTCCCGATGTTAGGAAACACACACAAACACATACACACTGCTTCAAAGCATCTGGAAGCTGGCAACCTGTGCCCTTCCTCCGAGCACAACTGAAAGCCTAACAGGCAGGATAGACAACTACGTCCCCCAAGCTGCAGCAAGATTGCAACAAATCAGTACTGACGCGCACTGACCAACACGGGCCAATGCACACGTTAAGCTACAGCGACAGTGGCTGCCAAGCAACAACACGCTGAGCAGCGAATACGGCACCAGCACATGCCAAACTGGTCGAAGCTGGAAAAGCAGCCGGCCGCCAAGCTTTGCATCCTCCAGTCGGCTCATCACCTTGGCGGTGGCTGCTCCGTCAAAGTCGATCAAATTAGTGGAACGAGAACAACGCAATGATCGCACCATGCCTCACTTTATCACTTCAGAAATGCTGGCTCCACCAGACTAGGGGAAGCGACTCCAAACCGAGTCGCTGAGACCACTGCCTCACGAAGGACCGCAACAAGCGAAGCAGCTGGCAGGCAGTTCGAGGCCCGGGGGGTTCGCTGCAAGCCATTGCTGCCGTGCGGATTTGCCCTGCAAAATTCTCTGCTTGTGGCTTAGCGGGCTGAGAGGGATGCACTGGCTTGGGGCAATCCATGAGCTCGAGGCTACGCACAAAGCTGCCTCAACGAACTCACGCGTGGGTTTCGTCCCACATGAAAGGGTCAATGGTAGGTGCTCCAATGATGCCGGGCTTTGGCGTGATGCAGTGTCATGGGGCTGCCACTGCTGCTGCCTGTTGATCATGTTCTGGCTATCTGGCTGCGGCCACTGAGCTCTCTCAAGCAAGGCATGGCGCCTACTGCATTCCCCCTTGGGCATGTTTCAAACAACGCATGTTGAGCTGAACATGGCATGCACACCATTCAACTTTTGGCTCCCTCGATCACTGTCACTCAAGCTCAGCGAGGGCCGCAGCAGCCTGTATGGCTGCCAGCTCGATGCTGCGCATCTCTTGCCTTGTGGCGCGGCTTGTGTACTCCAACGCGCACAGCCGCGCCACTTCTGACCCTGGGCCCTGCGTTGCAGCTTCCGCTTCAGCCTCCGCCGCGTCGGAAGCATCCGAGGGCTCACCTTCCAGCTGAGGGATCGGTCGGGAGCTGGCACTAGCAAGCGCATCCTGGGCCACAAATCAGAGCGACTTCATGAAACAATGGATCAGGAAGTTGCAGAACACACATGCCAGCAAGTCCTAGGCATTGCAAATCAAATGTCAGAGTTTCCTTCCGCTTGGTGGTTCTCATCCGAGCGTCTTGGAGCTCCTCCTCCGCGTGCTGCGCCGTGGCCAGCATTTTCTCCAGCACCCCTTGCAGCTCCTCCAGGTTTAGCTTATCTGTTTCTTTTGGGGCGATGGCCGTTTCGGGGCCCGCAAGGGACACTTTATGGGACACACAGATAAGAACCTCCCATATAGACTAACAACTCCAAGATGAAGGAAGATTCACTGGCCGATGGGTATGTCTAAATGGGATCTTTGGTAAGACAAGCACTAAAATGAACCCGGTATCAAAAACCAACATCTCGACTCCTTTGCATTGCTAAGGGCTCACATGCCGTGTGACTCCTGAGCTGCGCCGCGGGAGTTCACCGATGCCCATGGCAGCTGCTTCACGCGCTGAAGCCTGCATTTCAGATGCATCCATCCCCAAAGGACCGAAGGCATCGTGTGATGGAAGGGTCCAATGCGTATCTGCCGCAGATTTCTGGGCACTTGATTTCAGCCCAAGCTGCCGCTCTCGCTCGCGCTCAAAACTGAGCTGCAGCATGTTCTGCGCGCCCAAGAACCTGTGCGAACTGCTCAAGGCCTGAGGTTACAGCAGTTGGACGTGTCTATCACAAACAAGGTCCTACAATTGTCTGCTTTACTGTGCCGTGTCAGCACCCTTTGAGCACTGGGCTGCTGCAATGCTCTTTCTGGCAGCCGTTTCACGCTTCAGAACGGCAGCCATTGCACGGGCCTGCGCAGGGGAAATCTAGAAGCACAATCAGTATGCCCTTGCTTGACGCACGACAGCAGGTGACCAAAGCAAGCCTGGCCTTGGCCAAAGCAAAATGATGCTTGAGCTCACTTGCCACACCCTGAAGCCTGCTCTCTTTCCTCAGAAATGTGCCGTTCGCGTGGCTTGCTGACCCTGCCCATTCTCCCTTCCGGGCGCACAACATCTGAAAGGTTAAGCCACGGTTAAGCAAGCCACACCTGGGTCAGTGCTTTCAGTGCCCAGCAGCTCCAACCTTTGGCACAGTTGGGCCGGCTGGTCGTCTGGCTCGGCCTGCATTTTCTGGAGCATGAGCGCCAAGTCCTGTTGCACAACGGCGCCAGACTTCAAAGCAATAAAGCAAGACATGGGCAGCTCAGAAGCTTTCTTTGGCCTCAGCTAGGTCTGCCCCGTCCTTCTTGTCAAGCTGCGCCTTGGAAAGGCCCAGAAGCATGGTGCTCCCAGAGGCTTCTGCAAACTTTCCCAGAAGCTGCGCCACCTGTCAAGGCACTTGCAATGGGAAAGCTGTCGCCACCCGAATTCAAAGGAGCCCGCATCCCGGGCTGAAGGCCTCAGGCGCGGGTGCTGCAAATGGGCCCCGAAGCTCCTGGGTGGCCAGGCCGGCCGGGAGGCTGAACAGCCCTGAACAAGGCATTGGGCAACTTCAGCAAGTTAGGAGAATCCACGCGGACACACAAGCAAGCAAACAAAATAACCAAACAAAAAGCAGCAAGTGAACATTTCAAGTCCCAAGCCCCCCCCCCAAAAAAAAAAAACAGGCCCAAAAAGAGCAAACACACAGACAAACTAAACCTGGAACACATTGTAGGCGTTCGTGCTACGACCTGGGTTTACACCCTACAGCTGCACAAACTTGTTCAAAGGTAAAAGAGCTAGCCCTGAAGCGCTGCGCCACGGTTCCCAGGTCTGCTTGTGCCGCAACTAGCCTGTTGTGAGATGTGAAGCGAGCAGCCAAAACTGTCAACAAGCCAGAACAACATGCAGCTTCTACGGTACAGTTCGCCACGGCCCCCCTTGAAATGCGCAGCGCCTGTGCTTCTCTGGGCCTGACGAACAAATCCAGCTAGCACCTGACCTCTCAGATTGCCCTTTCTGCCAGGAGGCATGTGCGGATCCTAACTGAAAGAACGCGAGAGGATCAGGCCCGAGATCGTTTCCGTCAAGCTGGAGGAAAGATTTGGCGTCCTTCCTTAGAACGACGAGAACATGGCTTGTTGCATTGACCTGCCGCACATGCACAAATTCTATGGAAAATGGGCCAAAGAGCTTCTTCCCAGCTCTCGCACTGTCATCCTCATCTTCCTCAAATGCTTTCTCTGCTGCCATCAAGTCCTCCTTCGCTTTGTCTGGTTGTGCTGCACCTTTGTCAGGTTGCCTGGGCTCGCACCGCTGGAGTGGCGGATCAACGCTTTGAATATGACATGTTCTGGGCAGGCACAAGGTTAAGCCGCTGGCCAGGCGGTGTACGTCTGTGGTGTCTGCATGAGCTCCATAATCGTGGAGGAGTCGTCAGGTTTGGCGACCTTTTTGCCTTTGCTCTCCGACCGCTTCTTGGCCAATAAGGCCTGCCAGCCCCCTCGTAAAGCTGCAGGGAAGTCTTTTGGAGCTGGTGGTTCTCTTGGATCGCGAACAGGCTCATCTCTGACATGTGATATTTCCACACTGCTTGCCTCCGTTGAAGCGGCCTTGCTTGGCACCGGCAAGTTGGCATCAGCTGAAAGGGCATCAGTTGACTTGGCATTTGTTGGCCTGTCGGGTTGCTTCGATGCGGTGGCATGGGGGCTAATCTGTTTTGCCTCTGCAGCCAAGGACATTGGACTCTTTGCGACCTCTTTGACCGGGCTTGGCGCTGTCGCAAGGTCGGCGAGCGAGTCGGGTCCCATCGCCTTCAAAGGCTCTAGTCGAGGGAGCTCCACCTCCTTGGGAGTTTTGAGCTCCATCTGCTGAATCTGCTGCTGCATAAGATGCTGCTGTTGCAGCAGCTGCTCCAGCAGTGCGCTCTGACCCGGGTCTTTATTTACCCGCGATGCCTCCATTGGCACCGGGGCCTCAGCACCTGCCTCCACCATGCCAATCAGCTCCAGGGCTTTGCGCACCAGCGCCTTGCCTGCGACCTCTGTGCGATTCAGCACGCTGCGCCCCAGGCCGCCTGAGCAAGGCTTTGAATGTCTTAGTAACTTAGGATGCCTGGATATCGATCACATCACTCAACTCGCGGCCCGTCTCAGCTCCTCTGGCTCCTTTATTCCAGTGCAATTGTGGAATTGCAACACCCCAAGTTCTTCTGGCTTCGTCAGTCCGGAGGTCATGCGCTCTTTCACAGCCACATCCCCATCATGGTAACATGCTGCGGGCTTTAACAACAGGCTGCAATACGTGCATTGAGGTTTGCACCCTTGTGACATAAATATATAATTGTTTGCTCTGCTGTTTTTATGCAACTGTCTCATGCAACTCCGGGCCAAAACAACTTGGGGGAGGTCAGTGATGGCGCGCTTAATCAGGGCATAAAACGAAGCACGTGACAGGACACTTACTTCACTTTGCGTCAAGCGTCCAAACACGAAGCACGTCGACCTGGAATCGAGTCTTAAGCTGGGCTGTTTGTTTTGCAATTGTGCTGTGCCTATCATCTGCAGCCCAAAAAATCTAGCACAGCTAAGCCGCAAATGCCAGAAGTCTCTGATAGGGCTGCATCGGTCTGCGCGAGTGCTGCCTTTAACACCTGACGCCGCATGCAGGCAACTCGTTGCGCCCGCGCGCTTTCGCAAACACAACAATTCAATCACGTTGGCATACGTTGGCCATAGGTCCGCCGACGGATAAAGCAAACACACAACGCAATACCTGCAAGTGGTCACTGATGCTTGTTCAATGTGACATTGACTGCTTTTTAGGGAAGTGCTTCAAAAACTGGTCGTTGTCACAATATAGCAGTTTTGTGACCAGCGAGCACACGTGGTTTAAAAAGCAACAACATCGATGTTTTCCGTTTTTTTTTGGGTTTTTTTTTTCAAATCTTTTGACTGAAGCATGTTTTCAAATCTTTCATCAGACACCATCTACCTTTGTTGCAAATATTGCGTACTGTTGAGAACTGGAAACAGCACGGGAACAAGACTTACAAGCATGATCTGGAAAAGTCCCGGCAAGGCAAGCAACATCATTCTCAGCATGGCAAGCTAGTCGTTTGTTGGCGGCCCACGCAAAACAACAGCCCGCAAAGATAGCCTTCCCAAAGAATCAGCAAATTTGTTTCCGACTCGGCCCAAACGGCCCATATTTGTTCACTCGTCCGGAAACAGATATTAAAACTATACTGTAAGTCAAGCGTTAACATGGTGTAAGAAGCTCGTGGTATGGTTCCCGGCCTGGCGTCTGCTGCGGGCCGCCAGGGCCTTGGCGTAGTCAGCTGCCAAAGCTTCGCTGCGGTTCCTTGCTTGGGCCTGCGCAAGCGCTTTGAACCCCTTGGCGTTTGCGAAGCGCATGGCTCCGAGCGAGTCGCGGAATGGCCGCTGACCAGAAACAGCTCGCCTTCAGCAGCTCCATCTCAGCTTCCAGTTCGGCCCTCGAGCGACTCGTTTGGCTCAAGGAGAGCCTCAAATCACAGAACGGCACGGTCAAAAACGCCTGCTCTCATGTATTGTTTTGCGGCTGGCTCCCACGTGCGGAGGATAAAGCTGACTTTAGAACGATTTGGGATGTTGCTCTCCATTTGCAGCCCTAGCTGAATCTCTGACCTCATGGTTTTGAGCCACGGGGAGCAAGTTGGCGGGGTGGCAACACCCATCGAATCTCAGCTAGGCAGCTTCTGCTGCGCTTCTTGGCGCAGCCTCCGCACTGCTTGCAAGCTCCGGGACTCGCCAAAGAGCCAATGCGAGTGGCTCGACAGCTCAGACCTGGGATCTTTGGGCTGTGAGACTCAATTCTGTCCGGAGTGTGCCCGGGCTGTGAGCTTGGAAGCTGGAACCAAACACCAGCCGAATCCTGCGCCAATGTCCAAGCGAGCCGCACAGCCCCCTTGCAAACTCTTGGCCGGCAAATCAGGCTTTGAATGTGGCACAAGAACATCAGGACAACTCTGCCAGCAACCACAACCGCTACCGCACACAGCAACGAAATCTCATCGTTGTGACAAGCAAACACATGGCTGGCTTCGTTCCCAACCGTTTATGAACAAGTGCTACAACCACAGGAAATTAATGCTGGAGCAAGTCTGCACATCGCACAAGCAGCCACACCAAACGGTCTGATTAAATCTAACTTGACTAACTGCTCTCATGTCCTTTCATTATATATATATATCGGCGCCCATTTTGGGGTCCATGTCCCATTTTGGGGTCCATGTCCCATTTTGGGGTCCCATACCCGTCCATTTGCCGGTTTCTGAATCCCAGCCGAGCATCTCGAAGGCCCTGAGGCTCTTCAGGGACACCTCTGCTGTCTTGTCGGCACGGACCCGGAGCTGTTGCTCCAGCTCCACCAGTGCAGCAGGCACCTGCCGGAAAAGGACAAATACTATCAAATATTCCAAGCTCCCGATCGCCAAAGAAGCTATGGTGCCTTTGAAACCCTTGGTCACCTTGCAAGTGCCTGTGCTAGGTAAAAAAAAGGTGGGGCTAGACACGTGCCAAGTCTAGACATGAGTCTCAAAGACGCAGGATTGCGACCTCCAACCAGAAGCCGCAGCAGAACTTTCACGAGCTTCTGCCTCCGGGCCTCGAAGCGCTGCAGCTCGGGTTCCGTGACTTTTTGCTGTAAGAGCTGCTTGCGCTGAGCCTCCTGGCAGGTTCTTAACATTTGATGCACACCCGAAGACCAAGGCCCCTTCAAAACCGCCACACTCCCACTTCCGGCAGTGAAGCTCAAGATAACCGACATAGCGAAAGTTGTTTTCAAGAGTGCCTGACAGTCCAAGTGATGTCCATCACGAATCAGGCCAGAAAATAACATGACAGAGACCCTGCGCTGCAACCGAAGCAGCTTGCAATGCATAATTCCACCTTGCTCCCTCCCTCATCCACAGGCCTGGTTTTCCACTTCCTGCTTGCACCATGCTTCAAAGTCCAAGCGCCTCTGGGAAAGCTGGTTCTCCTCACGAGGGAAGCAGCTCTTCCGCAATCCTCCGTATAACCATCCCCACACCTCTTCACCGAGGATGTCTAAGCTACTGTCTGCGCCGCCCAGAGATAGCACCTGATTGAGCGGCAGCCCGATTCCAAGGGGTCAGGCGGGCTCCTATCCACAACCAAGCTTTTTCCAGTGCGCTAGGCCCCTTGCCACAACCCCCAAAGCAGCTGAGCCGTGGGCAGCAGCAATGCTGAGGAGGAACGGAACCATGTCCACCCTGTCCTGCACAGTCCAGGATTGAACGTGCATGAACATGCTCGTTGCGAGCAACTTGCACGTTACGGCCTCAGCAGCTACAATGACCCGTATCCCATCGGGATACCACCCCTCTGGCTATAGAGCCGAAATGGGCCTGTCGTGCCGCAGCTGCATTGTCCATGCAGCTGGTTTGGGTTCCCAAACTGCATTGGAGTACACCAAATCAAGCTTCCGAGGTCGCGCACGATGTCATTAAAGGCATGACTGAATTCCGGAATGGGCTAGAATGCTTTCCTAACGGACATCTTTTAGGGTGCTTTCTCGCGCTTGGCGCTAAGCCTTCCATCCAAGTGCTTCTTTGGCAACAGGCGTGGTAGCTTTGCACGCGAGAAAGGTCTTCGCCACAGCATTCCATTCACACCAGCTGTCCCAGCAGACGGACTGCGTGATGCCTGCCTTTGACAACCAGTACAACCAGCCGCTTCTTTGGCGGCCGGCGTGGAAGCTTGGCACACATCATTAATGGCCAACACGGTACGTTTGAACATGTGACGTGGACATTCTCAGCCTCACACAGACTCTGACAGGCAAACCCTAAGATGGTCAAGCGCCACAGCTAAGGGGGTGCTTCTGGAATTTGAGGTTGCTCACAAATTCCACTCCGGCTGGTTCTGCAAAGCTTGCATCACCTGTGTAGCAAAGTCCTTGGCTAGTAATGCGCAGGACCGCGACTTGAACTCCCTAAGGCTTGGTCCACATGCTCCGGAGCAGGTTGCTTGTCTGGATGCCATTTCCTCAGCCCAAACGTGCGCGGTTGCTCATGAGGATGCCAGGCCAGCCAAGGCTCATCATCAGCTTCTTCCTTGCATGTGTAAAAGCGTGCCCAGCGTCCAACGCACTGCAGCAAAAGACACTCGAACAAACAACGTATGCAGCAATATACCGGCGACAGCATGTGGCCACCTGTCACTCCACTCCTCCTAGTCCAGGACACCCTGTGGTGCATGACTCGGACTCGAAGCACCAATGTCCTGAAAGCCTACAATTTCCCTGAGACCGCACTGTTCATCTGAGCTTCTTCAGGGCTGGCCGTGCATCGCCGCGACAAGACCTTGCTGCAAAGGGCACGTATGACAGCCCTGCAAGGTGCTCGATCAGGTTGTCGCAACAAACATTCAGATGAGCTGCCGCAAAGGGCCGCACTCCATCCTGAGTTGCCATCTTTGGCGCATGACCTCTCCACATTGTATCCACTTGCCCGTGCCCAGGCTCATGTGCCAAAGCACAACTTTCAGCAACTTCCCAACCCCATCTTTTCTGCAGCACAAAGCGGCTCTGCAATTTGCTTTGCGAGCGTGGACGCTTTGCAATTGGCCGCTGCCGCCTGCACGAACAGCAATAGGAGCTAGTGGCTGCTGAGATGACCTTCTTCAAGCTTGAAGTCTTGATCAGGTGTGCTGGCTGAGCACATGGGCATGGGCCATGGTTCACCTTGACTCCATGGTCGATGCATAGTGGATAGTCAACAGCTACCACCTTTCAATTGACACTCCCTGCCCTTACTTCTCCCCCCCAAAAAAAAGCTCAGGTGACATCCCCTGCTGTTTTTGGTCCTTGGGCCCAACCGCAGCCAGGGAAGCAAACAACCGATCTAAGCCACCAATCATAGCGCACCGCCGGTTTCGCTGTTACGCCGCCGGCGCAGTCGTGGCCCGGCCATGACCCGGAAGCTCCAAACTACCACTCCGATGCACCTTGCCTCCCGGCCCTCGCCTTCGAGGCTCGCCGGTGCAATCGGGCCCCAAAGCCCGGCGGCACAATGTCAGTGCAATCGGGCCCCGGTGATGCAAGTGGGCCCCGAACCGGGCCCGGGGAACTCTGAGCCAATTCACGTCACCCATGGCTCACCGCCGGTTTTGCTTAGGATGCCGCCTTATAACTGTAAAGTAAAGCTAGGCCGTGGGCTTCCTTTTCCTAGACCTCTGTAAGTCTTTCCGACGTGGACACACTTTTGGTGTTTAGCCCTCCCCTCCCATTCGTGGAACTTCGCGGAACCCTTGTGGAACTTCAGAAATCTGGTGGAACCCTCGTGGAACCCGCAGCCCTCCAAGAACCCCGTGCTCGTGGAACCTCGAACTCTCGTGGAACCTTACCTCACCCAGAGCCGCCCCGGAGCCGTCACAGAACGTGGATCCCTCGTGGAACCTCAGTGGAACCCTGGCGGACGTGGAGCCCCACCCTGGTGGAACCTTACCTCCGGGCCGCCCCGGACCACCCCGGAGCCTATCTGGGCTGAGACCCCAAAGCGAGGGTGTCTTATGTAAGGGGGGGGGGGGACCTGGCAGTTACATTTCCAAGGGGCCCAGGGAGGGGTTTGGCAATACCACGCCGGACAAGCAATGGAACTCCATTGCTTGTGTCCGCTTGTATCGCAAACAATCCTGATTCTTCAGCATCTCTAGGGAACTGAATTTTTGAGCGGTTCGAAGCCTCCTTTCCAAGATTTTTTCTCGGGTTCCCAACAAACCTTGCAAGGTTGGGCTTTGCCAAGGACCCAAATTTATGATTTCAAGCTGCGTCTTAAAATAGGCCAATTTTTGGGTGGATTGACCGACGCACCCTCGTCGTCGCTTTCACCTTGTCCTGCAGCTCCTGCTCCGCCCTCTTCGCGCCATTTTCATTTTATTTTTGCATAAAGATTCAATTGCGCAAAGGCATTGCTACTCCCCGCTGCTCCGTGGCTGAGCATATGTGCCTGTTCACGTTTCAGTTCATTCATTCAATTCTTTTGAACAGGACTGAACTCAAATACGAGATACGAACCGGAATAAGGTAAGAACTTGCAATCCGGGTAAGAACCGGAATCCGGGATAAGAACCGGAATCCTCGGTAGGAACTGGAATCCGCGGTAGGAACCGGAGTCCGGGAAAAACCGGAATCCGAATTCGGGGTAGGAACCGGAACCCGGGGTAGGAACCTGAATGAGGGGTAATCCGGGGTAGGACGGCGGAAGCCGGGGCGTAGGAGAACCAAATCCCGGGAAGGAACTGGAATTTGGGTGCCGTGGTAAGTAGGCACTGGGAGAATCCAGGCTAGGAGCCAGTATAGAAACCGCAGTCCGGGGTAAGAACCGGAATCCGGGTAGGAACCTGAATCCGGGGATTCCATGGCAAGTAGGCACCGGAATCCGGGGTAACAGCCGGAATCCGGGGTAGGAACTGGTTGGAGCCGGTAGGAACCGGAGTCCGGGATAAGAAACGGAATCCGGGGTAGGAACCGGAATCCGGGGTAGGAGCGGAATCCCGTCCATGGCAAGTAGGCACCGGAATCCGGGTAACAGCCGGAAGGTAGGAACCAGTTCGAGCCGGTAGGAACCTATCCGGGGCAGGAGCCGGAATCCGGGGTAGGCACCGGAATCCGGGGTAGGCACCGGAATCCGGGGTAGGAACCGGAATCCGGGGTGGGAATCGGAATCCGGGAACCGGAATCCGGGGCAGGAACCGGAATCCGGGGTAGGAACCGGAATCCGGGGTAGGGACCGGAATCCGGGGTAATCCGGGGTGGGAACCGGAATCCGGGGTAGGAACCGGAATCCGGGGTAGGGACCGGAATCCGGGGTAATCCGGGGTGGGAACCGGAATCCGGGGTAGGAACCGGAATCCGGGGTAGGCACCGGAATCCGGGGCAGGCACCGGAATCCGGGGTAGGGGTAGGAGCCGGAATCCAAGGAAGGCACCGGAATCCGGGGTAGGAGCCGGAATGCCACAATCCGGGGTAGGCACCGGGAACCGGAATCCGGGGAGGAACCGGAATCCGGGGTAGGAGCCGGAATCGGGGTAGGCACCGGAATCCGGGGTAGGCACCGGAATCCGGTAGGAGCCGGAATCCGGGGTAGGCACCGGAATCCGGGGTAGGAACCGGAATCCGGGGTAGGAACCGGAATCCGGGGTAGGAGCCGGAATCCGGGGTAGGAACCGGAATCCGGGGTAGGAGCCGGAATCCGGGGTAGGCACCGGAATCCGGGGTAGGAACCGGAATCCGGGGTAGGAACCGGAATCCGGGGTAGGAGCCGGAATCCGGGGTAGGCCGGGGTACCGGGGTAGGATCCGGGGTAGGACCGGAATCCGGGGTAGGATCCGGGGTAGGAACCGGCATCCGGGGGAGGAGCCGGAATCCGGGGTAGGCACCGGAATCCGGGGTAGGAACCGGAATCCGGGGTTGGAACCTGAATCCGGGGATTCCATGGTAAGTAGGCACCGGCATTTGGGGTAAGCCGGTAGGAACCGGTAGGAACCGGAATCCGGGGAAAGAATCGGATTCCAGCGTAAGAACCGGCGGGCTGAACCGGGTGCAATGAAAGAACTCAAAATCCAGCAAGGAGACTAGCGGGAACCAGAATCCGCAACAAATGCCGGAAAGAAATCGCAATTCAAAAGGAGCCGGAGCCCAACACAGGAACCAAAATCCAGCCAAGAAATCAGAACCCGGAAAAAGACACAGGGCTCCGGAGAAGAAACACAAGGAACCGAAGCCGACCAAAACCGACCGAAACCCACAATAGGAACCGGAATGCGGGTAGGACGAGATCCAGAAAAGACACTGGAATGCAGGAAGGGAACCGGAGCCCGTGGCGGGCCAAGTAATTATACGTTCTTTTTTTGCGAAAATGGCAACAATAATCCTGAGAACCGGCCGGATGCGACTCCTGTCATGCATTCACGGCACACGTCACGCTGGCCAAGCTACCATTGTGCTCAATGTGTGACTTTGTAGGCAATATGTGAGAATCGAAAGTCACTTTTCCATGAAAACGGCCTTTCGAACATACACTCGCATCATTTTCGCAACAGTTCAGTACCTAGCACGTCAAGTACACTTCCGCAGCTCCGGCTCGAAAATCGCAACTTTGTAGTACTGAAGGGCGCAAGCTGTAGAAAGCTGTTGGGGTGCAAAGGGTCATTTTTCACTTCACATCACCTTTCGAGGGTCTCAAGGGCAATTTTGCTCTGCACCCTTTGAACACGGTTGTCACAAATATGGGGAGGGACCCCTTGAAATTGATGACAGGAAAACCTTTACTTCGTGCTCTTGGAAAGCAATTCCAAGTTTGGATTGAATCGCTTGTGCCTAGTGGGATTAGGCACTTCAGGCAGCACCTCCGGCAGAAAGGAAGGTTAAGGACAGTCAAGGAAGCCGTCCATTCATGCCCGCAGTTTTTGGGGCAAATCCAGCTGAATCGCTTACGCCCAGTGGGCTTAAGCAACTCAGGCCGTCTGGCAGCAATTTTACCAGCCCCAGGCCCAATTGGAATCGCTGCAGTCGAGCCTGAATCGCTTACGCCCACTAGGCTTAAGCAATTCACCGAAAACACGGCTCTTGAAGCGTTTTGAAGATTCTGTCGGCGACCCGAAAAGCGAACAGCCAATTGCGGCTATACGTGTGACCGAGTGTGGCTTGTCGAAGGCAACATGTTTTCGGCTGTTTTCGGCTGAATTGCTTAAGCTTAGTGGGCGTAAGCGATTCAGGCTCGACTGCAGCGATTCCAAATAGGCTGGGCGCGGGTAGAATTGCTGCCAGACGGCCTGAATTGCTTAAGTCCACTGGGCGTAAGCGATTCAGCCGGATTCAGCTTCAGCCAGCCTGAAGTGCTTAATCCCACTAGACGTAAGCGAACCAGCCCCAAAAAAGCACAGTTTTGACAAAGCCAAGCCTGGTTGGCCTAATCGACACACGCTGCCGCTGCTGCAGACAGCTGGGAGGGCTTAATGCCAAAGGCGTAAGCGATAAAAAGTTCAAGTGGATGTGCACCTTCAAGGGATTTTTCCCCGGCGCTTTTTCCCGGCCAAACCAAAAGTTGCTTTTTGTTACGAACAGAGGGGGGGCTGGCTGCTTTTTTTTGTCTGAAGCGGCAGCCAGCGAGGACTTCTTCATCTACCGCGAATTTTGTAGCAAAGCTTCTCATATGTTGCCAGGCATCAGCATTTTGGCCCACAGGCGCCCTAGGTCCTGGCTAGTTTTGGCGACACGAAGCCAGCATGGAGATGAACCCTGGGCAACTGGCAAACTACACAAAATGACTTCTTGACTTGGCTCGCCACCCAGAGACAATCTTGTTCAAAGTTGGCTGCGTGCTGGAGGGCCGCGCCCGTCCCGAGAACGTCCTCGTCGGTCGGTCCATCGACGCAACGGACGTAAATTTCACCCATCTTGGAGTCCAGTCTGCACTTCTTTTTCTTCGCGCGTGTCCCAAAGTCATGTCGGTCATTGGACTTGCTTCTTTACTCATGCGCACTATCTCTATATGTATCACGAACGTTCCTGCTGAACTTGCCTTGGCAACCGTGTATTCCCAAGTAATCCTCAAAATAACCGCAGGTTTGCAAATGGCAGGAGATGAACTGGTGCCAGGACTTCAAGACGATCAGGGTTCACCAAGAAAGGGAGGAAGAGGATGCGCCGCTGAGTCTAGGCTTCGTGACGGGGCATCGACGCAGTCTTCACTTTGCCTTCCGCTACTTAAGAATTTGCAAGACCCTGAGTGGTTGCGCTGCATGGGGAAGAGCTGTGCGTTTCTGTGTTCTCCAGCTTCTTCAAATCCCTGACCGTCACTTGCTAGCCACACTAGGCATCCCCGGAAAGGTGGTGTGGTGGACATCCGCCAAGCCTGCGTGCCGCAACAAGGGCCGTAGCATAGCGGCCCTCCTAATCGGATGAAGAAGCTGCCTCCCAAATCCTTGCCGGCAGGTTGCGCGGGGTTGCGACACGAGTGTCGGGTGTACTCGCGGCGATCCGAGGCAACAGGTCCAAGTAGGTCGCCCTGCGACGTTTCATCTGGGGTAGCTCAAACCGTTCCAAACACCCTCAATGCAAACGGAAGTGCCTGGTTTCTGCCACCGTCAAACACAGGAGTTCAAAGAGATGGTGAGAAGCTCTGTGAGCGCACCTTGACCGAGAGAGTTAGTGGTGAACACGTTGAGGCAAGGGAGGGCCTGGGCAGGCTCCAGTTGGCTCCAGTCATCTGTCACCACTTGTCAGTCGCAGGCGGTCACGTGATATTTTTCCAAAACACGGGGTCCGTGAGAAGTTTTTGTTGGAACGAGATGGCAGCTCCCTTCACTTGAGTGTATTTGAGCCAGGACTCATGCCTGCCGATCTCATTCTTCAACACCGCTCGGTACTTGCTGCCCTTCGCGCACCGAAGGTCAGCTGGAAAAACTTTTCTTTTTTTTACCCGCTTCTAGGCATTGCGCAGTCATAGGGTCGGGCATATGTGGGCATGCGCCGTCGGCATGCGCCGTCGGCTTTCCAGGCGTTGTCGGGTAGCCCGTCGGCGGGAAAGCCAAAAGTAGAACGGTCTTTGAGTGACAGTCGGTGACAGTAGCCCCAACACGTCCCCAACAGCTTTCATGTCAAGGCGTCTCGAGTTAGCTCATCCGAAAGGGATCCTTGCTTCGGCTCTGGGAAAAGCCAAGCACCGCCCCTCCAACAAAAAAGGCGCGCCGTTTAAACCCAGACATGTATATGCGTGTAAATTTGTAAATGACATCTGCTGTGTCTGTCCAAGCAAACATTTCAGTCGTAGCAAGTCAGAACTGCCATCTCAGACAAGAAGAACGTCAGTTTTTCCCCAAGCCCAAAGCCGATTTTTTGTCACTGAGCTGTCCGATTCGTTCGGTTCGAACACGCAGAGGACGCTCGCAAAATTAGAGAGCGCTCACAGAACGTCTTACGTGTACAAATATCCAATATTCTGCCACTGCTTTTTTGTGTTCCCGTTTGCGCCTTATATATCTGGGGGCCTGTGGGGCTGGAGATTTGGGCAGTTCTGGACAGCTCAGTCATTGTCAGCCACCATTGTTGGCTTCCATAGCAGCCTTTGCGCTTCGTCCGTTTTGAGGTGTTCAACGATGTGGCCTTGGCAACTTTCCAAATCAGTGTGTCCACCAGTTCCTGCCTGTTCTGCGCTGCTCCGTGCTAAGTATAAGCTTGTAGGTTCTCATCGCTGGTCGAAGCCCGATGTCGTACAGGGCCTCGTTACTAGCAGCACGAAAATTGAATCTCCAACTGCTCGAGAAAGAACATCGGTCGTTGCAAGGCTTTGCCGAAACTCTTGTTTTTGTCGGCTGCATTCGCCCAGAAACTGAAGACTCTATGATAAATAGCCAAAGAAATATGAGAAGGATTGGATGATGGTGAAGCTGGATTTCGCATCTCCACTCTGGAGAGCAAACTTTCAGCTCGTTCACCCAGATGACCGGGAGCTATTATTGAGAGTGTTTGAAACATGGATGTGAAAGTCGAATGGTTCGGCCAACAGCAAGTTCCAACCGTAACCCTAAACCCACCATAATCGAGGAGAGAAAGCACATAGTTCCAGTCTTGCCTTATGGAGCCAGAACATGGCCTCGAGGAGCTATATTGTCGATAATCTGCTACACTTACCCAGTCCTTGATTGGAGCCAAATGTTGAACTCCCAATTAGCCCCAGTTGCTCAAGGTCCTCCAAACCACCAAAAACAACCCCAAAAATGTAACTGGTTACATTTGGGACCCCCCCCCTGATTACATTGCTATAAGGACTCCCTCGCCCCAAAGCTTTCAGCTGCTGGGGGAAACAACAGAGTCCCTTCCCCAACATCGAAGGAAATATGGAGATCTCGGGGCGGGCTTATTTCCAGGGCATGGCCATCACATGCCTAGTAACAAGTACAACACTTGCTGACCATGCATAACCCAAAAAGTTGTCTGCGCGTACGTGGTGGGCTCCTTGGTGTGATAGAGTATGATAGAATTGCCAATTTGCAAGTTTGACACCAATGAATTCCTAGCCTCTGCCAGCTGCAGCTGCTTCTTGAGCGTGGCGTTCCTAGCAAGTGCCAGGCCCCGATGGCTACCCTCAGCTCAACTCAGGCGCCGGCTCCCGGGCTGTGCGGTCCGCGAGCCACGCGGACTGCCGGAGAAATGTCACCTGCGACTGACGGGATTCTGCGCAATCACCCAGGCTGGTTGGCCGGGGAGGCAAAAGGACTGCCTGACGGCTGCAGAGAAGGGGATGTGGGAGTTTTCCACCTTGTTCAGGCGTGGAAATCGGGAAATGATACTAGAAGAGGGAAGGCTTGATGAAGCGACGGCTGATGGGAAAAAGTGCTAAGGACCTGCGATGAAGTTGGAAGTGCGGCGCTTGCCGGCCCTGATGCATCTACCCAACATGATGCGTCTGGGTGAAGGAGAGGTACTTGCAGGAAGCTCAGCCGGCCGCTCGGGAATCGATATCACTTCCCGCCTCCCTTTCCGCGTCCTCGCGCTTCCGGATCTGTGCAAACAGCTCTCTCTCCTTGTCGTCCTCACCGCTGCTTTGGCAGGGTGTGGCTGTTCAGCACATGCGTCCTTGAGGCGGCGCCATTGATCTGCTCGCTGTTGCACAGCCTGGCAAAGCCAACGGCTCCCATGTTCTGCAGCTTCCTATGGGGTGCTTGTCGCCAACTTGTGCCTGGCGGCTTTCAAGTTTGGTCCCCTATCCCTGGCCCGCTCCTGCAGGTCGTTCTGCGCCGCTTGGAGCTCCTATTCCAGCGCGACTCATCGAAAACGTCCCTGAAAGTGTTATTGACCAAAATGTTCCGCCTGCAGACTTCAGATTTTGCGGGCTTGAACATCAAACTGGGGCAGAACGCTCATCAGAGCAAGCTTGCAAAGGCTCCGCGCAGAACGCAGTCACTCGGACATTGGTGGCATTATTTTGCCCGTTGGATTCACCATGTTATGGCCCAAATCGTTTTAGGTGACGCTCCTGCGCACGCATGCGTGAACCTAAGCACACTCTCTTTGCTTTTGTTTTTTGATGGTGTTCCTCTCTCTCTCTCTCTCTCTCTCTCTCTCCCTCGCACGCGCACACATAGACAAACAAACAAACACACCCGAACAAATGCGTACGCCTGTCTGCCCCTCCTGGTCCAAGCTGCTCACAAGCTCTTCCAGCTGGGCTCGGCGCTGCATTTCCTCGGAGACTTCCTGGGCAAACTCTGGCTTCGGCGCTTTTGATCGCGTGGGTGGATGGGGGTGGCTCATAGACTTTCCAATTCTCCGCAGGATGGATCTCATCAACCCCTTGACGGAACCAGGCTTAGCTAAGCAAACATGTGGGAGCAACACGAACGACAAAGAACACCGAAGCACGAGAACGAGCGAAGCAGCCACTGGTTGCTTGACATTGCTCTGATTGAACATTGCGGAGGCCGGAGTAGAAGTCCATACGGCCAGCAAACACTGATTGAACGCACGCCTGACATAAAGAATTTGGCGATGCTCCCACCCTCTAATGAAGATAGACTTGAGCCTAGTTCCACGGTCCATAAGGCGAAGAAAAAAGGCAGTTGGACACAAGCTTCGAACGACCATTAGACACATCTCTTTCGCCATGTGTCAGCTTCCTTCTCTTCTATCTCTTCAAGAAGGCGCCAAACCTCTGGGGAGTCTTTCTCCCGCGCCGAGGTCACCTGAAAAGCACGAGCCATTTCGTTCAGCCCGCCGTTTTGCGCTGCATTACTCAACAGGGAAAAAACACAGCGAACCAGAAACCGGGACCCTTATTAACCCCAGTCCGGTAGGCGAGCGCAAGCCCTGCTTCTATGATGGGCATTGAATCTTGAGCCAATTGGGCATTGCCATTCAGCATGTTCGTGCTATCAACGGGGCCTCCAACATCACATGCATGCACACCCTTTTGGGGGTCAAGGGGTCGTGATTATTCAACTCCCCCTCCCCGTGCTCACTAAGAGACTTGTATTTTACAGTCGCGCTTGAGCAGCGACCTATGTGATGCAAGGTCCTTTACCAGACCATAAGGAGGGCTTACCTATGATTTTTGCACTTTTGTTACTGTTTGGACATCTCAGGCCGGACATTTTTCAGCTTTTCAGGCAAATTGGTTCTGATGCCTAAAAGCTTTAGTGCGTGGTCCCATTTTAAGGGCTGCAGAGCCTTCGTCAAGATATCGGCTGCCTGGAGATCGGTAGCTACATACTTGATTACTACACCCGTGCCGGGTTCAAGTTGCTCAGCAAGTGCGGACAGATTCACCTTGTGAGTGCGCTGTATGTGCCGCATCTTTGGGGAGTAACCTTTCTTGGCAACCAGGATAGTGGCTTGGTTATCTTCGTGCAGCACCAACTCAACCGGGCGCCCAAGCAAACGCTCCCACAAGGTCAAAGAGGGAAGGCCCTCTTGATACAAGGAGAAAGTGTGAGCGACACGACCTCGGCTTCGGTGGTGGATCTCGACACTGATGTCTGTCGTTTACTCAACCATGCCAACGGGAAATGGGTTTTCGGCCCTTTGAGGACCAAGAAGCCACCGGACGTGGACTTCGCGTCCCTTTCTCCAGCATAGTCGGCATCCGCATACAGAGCGAGGTGAAGATCTTGCGGGTTGTCCTTTATGACACCTACCAACCGGTAGTGCGTGGTCGAGTGGATATACGCGACGAGACGGGCGAGTTGCCTATCGTGGTTGCGAGACCACTTCTGCACGGCGGTTGCTAGGTCACGTATGGGCTTGATGATATCAGGACGCGCTAGTCGTCCCAGCCATAAGGCCTTCATGGGGAGTTTGCACGCGTTTGGGGCTAGCTCACCAGCTGACTGATCATCTTCAGGAGGAAGTGATCCGTCTGGGCAGAATGGAGTAGTTACCTTCCGGAGCTTCTCGGGCTGAGTGCCGGTTATAGAACAAAACAGTTCTACGGTTTGACGGGCATAGTCGTTCATGTCAAAGGCGACGGCACCCTTTAATGCGCTTACAGCTGCATTCAGATCATGCTCTTGAGACTCTGCGGGAGCGTCTATAAAGACATGATTGCGCCCGAGCACCCTAAAAATCGGCTCGGGAGGCTCTACATTTATCATTTTTGTAAGCTTTTCCCAAAAGGCTTCATGTGCATCTGCGGGACCTGAGAGGGTCAAGTCATCGACATAAGTCGAGAGCATGAGGCCTGCCCCTTTAAAGAAAAAGTTTCCAGGAAACTCTGGGATTTCTTCCCCTCCCAGCTGCTTAAGCAGTTTCTTAAGGTGTGCCTCCCACAGACCTCCTGCGTCAGGGTGACCATATAGGGCACGAATCAACAAGACCACGGGTTTCACGAACTTGGAACCCCATTCCTTTGGCCGCAGCTCAGGCGGGAGTTCAATCCACGTCTGAAACTGTGAGCTAAGGAACGCCTGGACATAGGCTTTTACCGCGTCAGCGGTGATATCCTTGTGTCCTGGGATGCACCCATATGCCAGGCAGGCGTTCAGGCCTTGTACCGAGGTGGGGTTTGCCCCCAGTTCTTGGTACACCGCGGGTGCACCGGCTTCATCTTTTGCACAATCTCCTCTGAACACGATGCGCCCTTTTACCTTCTGGAGGTGCTTCGCAAGCTCATAGAACTTGATGCTGGCGATCGTCATGAGCTGACCAAAGTGCACCTTTATTCCGGACTGTCGCGCTTGAGCTGCGACCTCAGCCTTCTCCCGGACAGTTGAATTATCCCATACTCCGACATCTTGGAGTCCTGTCGCCTCCTGCTTGATTGCCTCTAACGCCTCAGGGGATGCAAGCATCTCGGCACGGGACAGGAGTTTAGTGACCATTGCACGCGCTTCTGTTTCGACAGCCTTGGCGGGCACGCCGATAGCGTTAGCAAGTAGACCTTGGACATCGAGGAGTTCCTCAACAATCTCTTTTGTCTTAGAGTCTGATTCGACGAGGAGGGTGAAGTCATCTGCTCCGGAAAGAGGAGATTCGTGCTTTAGGGATTGCTCCTTAACACGATGCTCCGTCTGCTGAGTGACCGGAACAACAGGCATTGCTTGAATCGGAGTCCTACACACTTTGGGATACAGCGCTTTGGCGATCAAACCACACATTTGCTCAGGATAGAATGCAGTGCGGGAGGTTCGGCTCCCTGCCGCTGGCGTATGTTTTTCGGACTTTGAGTGCGGACACTGGCGATCAGCGAATGCTTCGGCAAGGGCCTTTGATGTAGTTTTTATGTGCCAAGGCTTCTTGATGGGTGTCTTGATGGGTGAACCATTTTCATCCGTCAAACCAACAGCACAGCCATGAAACGAAACACCATGGAACACATCCTTGTGGCGTTCGAAAAACTCGGCAACGTCTGGTCTCTGCCAACCTTCGCAGTCACGCGGCCACTCGAAAGTGACTGATCCACCGGCCTTCAAAACATGCTCGGCGTGCAACGCAAACTTTGAAAACATCACTTTGGATTGCTTGACTTTTTCCCCTAACTCTTTCTTGAACGGCTCACCCAATCTGTGAAGGTTCAGCCTCTGCCAAGGTGATCCTGAGACACATGGAATGGCTGCCCACAAGTAGATTTGGTACGCGAGCTGCTCGTCCGCAACGGCTGTCTCTAAGTCAATGTACTCCTTTGCTAATCGGACATGTGGGATGTTGAGATCCTTGAACACATTACCCATTGAGGAATTAGGTGAACAAGCAAATTAAACATCGGGCCAACAGCATCACGCGCTAGGCGCTTGCGAGCACGCTTGTTGCCAACGGTAAGCGGAGTGCGTTCATCGCCCCCCTGAAGCTGGCAAGGGTTACCGAAAACGGATGGCTTCTCTTTCGTGGTCTCAGCAAGTGTTGTGCTGGATGCGGTTGACACGGTGACGGCTGCTCCTGAGCTGACTGGGATGTTACCCTCGTGAGGACTGAGCCCCCCTGCTGCGCTTAAAGCTGCAGCCGAATGCCCGGAATCACTATATAACCTAAAAATGGTTATGCCAGTCCAGAACGCAGGGAGTTCTCGATGTGCTGAGAACCTGCCTGCCCAACCATCCCTGATATCTTCCTTGCTACCATCTTGCTGGGACACAATGCGAGTGGTCCTACCGGGTGTGATTCTGCACACTGACACGGGACAATCACCGACATCCTTGGGAGTGAAAAGTTTAATCCTAGGCTGATGATGCACGCGGATTAACACGGTACCACTAGGCTTATAAACCCATTCATCCTTCTTGGTTGATGCGGGGACAGCGTCGGTATGCGGAACACTGGGCCGAGAAGAGGCGGGCTCTCCAAGCAAGGCACGGACGATCTCGGGGTCTCCCTCCTCATCGATCTCTGGGGCTTCTGGGGGTTCTAGGGAGGCGGCCTTTGCAGCGCGTATAGCAGCTGCCTCATCTGCACCCTTACTTGGTTTGGTGGCCTCCTCACTTGCGGCCTTTTTGGCCTTCGCTTCTTCCTTCTCACTTTCAACTAGCTCTGCAAACCTTTTGCGGCATTCGTCAGTGTGATGCGTAGAACTAGCATGGCCGGTGCAGGCCTTGCATCCAGGGGTCTCCTTGAACTTGATAATCCGTTCAATGGTGATGTACACACTTCGTGACTTAAAGCCTGACGGAGTTGACGGGGCAGGGATGCCTTCAGGAATGAAAGGAACATCCCTGATTGCATACTCGGGAACCTCGCCATCGCCTGTTCGCAGGGCTCGATCGGCAGCGGCCGCGATCGGGAAAACAGGATCGCCTTCCTCGACGAACAACTCAGGTTCGGGCACGTCATGGACAGTAACATTACCGTTGGTTCTGAAACTTTGGTAATCCATAATTTTTAGCACCCTTCGATATCGCATCCCTGGATCGATACGCCAACCCATGAACAAGCCTGGGGCCATGTTAGGTTCTAGGGTTCTCTTTCCATCTGACTTTAGGCGAGACCAAACGAGTTGTCCGAAACAACAGCGGACGCCATCGAACTTCTCCTTGGTGAGTGCTTCCCATTGCGTCTTTGTCGGATCGAACGTGGACGGTCGGTCGAAGGACATCGAGAGGCATGCGAAGGGATAGGAGTGCGTGTGCAGAGAGTAGGGCAAACCCGATTGATGGTGTATGCTCCTGCAACACTCCTTCTCCTCTCGGACATCTCGCTCGAGCTCGGAGTTGTGTGGCCAGCGATTCGGCAACGAGGTTTCGGGGATCATCCCTACTTCCTCGGCCGCTCCCTGCAACTCCCCAGCTTCATCCATTTTTATGAGACAGTGTGGAGCCAGTTCGTTGGCTCTGAGGCCAACGAAATGCCTGAGATTCCTTGCGTGCGACGGAATGTCTCTCTTAGAGACCGGGTACGCGACCCTTGTGCCGGAAAACACATCCCTGATGACATGGTGGGATTTTACTCCGCCTATGCCGAGGCCAACGTGTTCATCGCCTTTCGCCAAGATCACGCCATCAGTAGCGAGCTGCTGGTAGGGAGCGGTGTGTGCGTCGAGAAGATCGTCACTCCGCCCCCCTGGTTTGCGGGCAACACGCATTGAGGCGTTCTTAGCGATGTTGCAAATCTTGCAGAAGGGATTCTTGGGGAAGTGAGTCCGTTGGTGTTCCGGTGAACTGGCTTCGGCCCGAAGCCGAGGTTCATCACGAAGCTCACCACCTTCTGCAAAATCGACAAGCCTGCGCTCGTCATCAGGATGTTCGGGCACCGCTGGTGC